AAGTATACTGAAGGTTATTGCGAATTTATCAAAACTATGCAAATACACTACGAATTTTTAACATGGAACTAACATCAGTTTAAAAAGCAATCAAAATAAAATTCATATAAATATAATTAATGTCACCCATGTCCTTGATGGACTGTCAGACCGTGACACACATGTGAGCTATTCCATATCGATCCCCGATAAAATTGATTTTCGCCATTGCGCGTTTACAATCTAGTGTTTCATCACTGCAACCGGTTGAAAAAGTGAAAACAAACGTTGTATATGGTAATACTTTATTTTTAAAACGCACTGCAGTTTTATTTTGTTTGATAAATAAGCAAAAAAATAATAATTTACAAATGATTTTTTGAAAGTCGCACTTTAGAATGTTAAATATTATTATTATGATGTAAAAATAAAAAAGATACATTATTTTGCTGGAAAATATTTATTGTTATTCGATACTTTTATTTCACCAAGTGACACACACAGACAGCAATTAATAAGTTAAATATAGAAAAAGAGCGATAAGCATATTGGAAAAAGTCAATAACACAATATTTTAATTATTGAGTAAGTTATTGAAGTGTTCAGATGTCAAGATATTAGATAACAGTTGGATATAGAAATATGTCACATGTGTTCAAAGTTTACAGTCGCCATAACTACGCGCGCGCACAACATAGTGACAATGACACAAAAACAGAACATACTGCCCCAGTTATTAATCACCACATTGGCTGTTGAAAAACAAATCGACCAACTAGAGTTATTAAAGTAACGAACGCAATGATGTATGTATAATATGTACGAGTACTACAGTTTATGTCAGGATATAGCATTACGTACCTATCTATACATATAATAAAATTGTAACTAAGCCGAAACTGTACATTAAATATTTTTTGGAAAATCTTATTGAAATAAACATTATTATCGATACAGAGGCCGAAAAACTTTGTAGAATTTTTGTCTGTCTGTCTGTTACCGCATCACAGAAAAACCACTGGAGGGATTTTGATGAAATTTGGTATGGAGATGGATGGTTATCCGGGTCAACATATGGGGTACTTTTTACCGCGAGAAAATATCTCATTTCTGAAAAAAAAAAAACAAAAACTACAATGTAAGAATATACTAATATGTAAAACCTAAGAATTTGGTTTTTGGTCATCTGAACGCGGGCGCAGCCGCGGGCAATGCTAGTTTAATATAAAATATAAAATTAGGAAATGTTTATTTGTTTTTTTATTTTCTTTTTGCGCACAGTTTCAATAATCTTCCGTGAAAATAAATCATTGTGAATAAAGAACGTACTAACAAACTTCAAAAATACTATCTTTGTTCATGACTTTTTTCACGCTTTGATATACGAGTATGTTTGTTATAATTAAAGATATCATACTACAGTTACGACGACGATATCTAAAAAAAAATTTTTATTGTGGTTTTTAAAAACACTTTTATTTCTATCTATATATTTTAAAAGTTGAAATACCTATTTTTAATTCATAAATAAAAATATGCTGCTTTTTTAACTGTACGCATTATTATTCACGACTTCAAATGCTTTGCTAATAAAAAAAAGCGAACCAAGAAGACAGTATTAGCAATCGGAGACATATATATTTTATACTTGCTGCGAGTTTTATTAATTTTATATAGGTCGATCATGTTCCTTTTTTTTATGTTGGGAAATGCATTAAAGTATAACATCTGTAGGCTATACAGGTGGTTATGTGGAACTCACCGACTGGAAAAACCAGTCCTACCCACCAAAACCCAACAAAACTTCCCCCGTCTTAATGGGGCGTCGCAGGTTCGCTTCCGCACTCAACTACGATGCCCCGACAGCAGACCTATCCACAACAACCATGGGGTTGCTTTAACAATCAACTCTGCTATCAGAGAAGTATCAGGACCAACCCGCGTGGTACACCCATGCCTATAGAAGTGGGCCACCCTCCTGTGCGTTTCTTGGCTTCGCGCCCGGCTGAACTTTCGGAAATAATACTATGTTCTTTCGTAAACTTATTCCCATCTTTTTACTTTGCTTTTTACGCAGTCGGGTATTTTATTTTTATAATTTAAATATTTATTTACAGCTTTTTAGTTTTGGCGAGTTAGACATTTGGAGTCTTGTCCAAAATTACTATTAAACATATAAGTTGTAAATACCTTTTTGTGTCCTTAAAAACCTTTATTTTCATACTCCGCTTAATAGGTTTGTAAGGAGAAATTTTTTTACACACTTATTGGCACCTGCAACTCGCAGTTTTAATTTTTAATAATATGCTTAGACCCTATGACACTCACGTTATCAAGAATGAATCTAACGACGCGACGTATGAATCATTAAAATCGATTGAACTGTTTAGTAAATACGAGGAACATAGGATAGACATAGGTCAAACACATAACCGTTCTTTGGGCTTCGTCACAGTCAGTTAAAAAGTTACAATCAAAATTCGTATTTATCCACAATTAACGAAGATCACGAATAATATAAAAAATAAATCCCGACAAATGGACTGTCTTTTACATATTTTCTAAGGCAAAATATACGAAAAAGAGCAGTTGTAATAGAACTTTAAATCTTTAAAATACTTACAATTTATTGCATAAGTCAATGCAACTAGTATCAAGGCGTATTAGTACACTAGTACAACTACATTTATAAAGGGAAAGAGTAATGTAGGAAGGGAAAGAATTTGTTTGATTGTTTGTTTGAAGACCACTCTGTAAATGTATAATCGGACTTTCGATAGCAAAGAATACCGACTGACTTTAAAAAAGAAAGGAATAAATATATTATATCACAAAATGTTGAAATTACAAAATTCATTAGCAACTGATAATATTATTTTATAGATGAAATCAAGAGTTAAACACGTTTTAAATACTTATATAATTATATAAAAATTGACAAACAAGATAAATATAAACTGATAATGTTTTCAAAGTAATGAAGAAGCATATTAATTAAGTAAGACAATATTTTTTTATTATTAGTAATTCCGAACCAATCTTAAAATAATTTTACCGATTTCATGCTTCCAAGAATAATTCAAAAGTTACAATTTTACCATCACCACCATTTTTAATATTTTGCAAAATATAATATGGATAATACAAACTTAACAAACAAAAAATATCGGTGATTTGGTATCGTAAAGTGTATCAATATATGTATTATGTACATATAAAAATGCAAAATTCTGAGACATACGAAGGTAAGGCATGTAAAGATTATAATATTCTTTGAAAAATGAACCAATTTAATATTTATCTGCTTTAGTTAAATTAAATAATACTTCTCTGGTCAATTTAGCTTTACTTACAAATATCAAATATTTCGGAAATGTCACATTTTAGGGTAGGTACTATTACTATATTTCGTTTATCTATGCTATAACACTGCCCAACAATGGAAACGTTTCGGACTCAAAAATAATGCATTCTCATATATATGTATTCATAAGCTGAATTCTAAAATCACCGTAAAAAGTAAGGATTATTCCTAGTTTTACAGATAAAAGTGACATTCTATTTTCTACATTTCCGGTTTGTGTGAAATCTGTGGAGAACTAAAAGTGATCGCTATACTCTTAGGAATGTATGTAATTATGGTACTCAGGGGCAAATACGGTTGTTTTTTTATATATGTGGGATAGCAGGGATAGAAATTTACATTATATTCAAGCGTTTGGCCTGCAAGAGATCTTAACTCTAGTGAGAAAAATGTCATTGCCAAGCCGCTCGCCACCCCTACATATCAAGCTGGGTTTAATGAAGAATTTTGTCAAAAGCATGAACCGAGAAGGGCGGGCTTTTAAATACTCGAGAAAGAAAATTTCTAGACTGTGATGTATGATCCTTGTTGGCCCACAAAGACGTCAACTTGTAAAAGATCCTACCTTCGATTTAGTTTTAGGAGAGAAAGAAAAGGAATTATCGGCTATAATAGATTTATCGGATCGCTATTTAATGAAGCGGATCGTTAGTAGTAGTAGTCTATTGCTAGGCACAGTTATAGTGTTTAAACCCTAGTGCTATACTTAGTAACTATCTATATACATTTAGCAGCACAGTATAAAAAAATATACAATAGGCGATTACCTATAGTTTTTAAAGGAAGTGGTGTCGCAAATGTAAATGTGTAAGGGTTGTCAAAAATATCACTTTTTCCAACATTTTCGCATTGTAGCATAATCTCGTGACAAATTACAGTAATTATACCCGTCAACCCTAAGCCTAAGCCCAACTGTCATAATATAAAAGTAAGTATTACAATCAGGTACGCCTCACCCTCGTCTCGCCTCGCACGATTACTTTGTCTAGACGTCTTAGTTAGACGACTCCATGGATAAGAAAACTGTCTATTACCATAATACTTTCTTAGATTTACGCGAATATTGGACACTTTAAATAAAACTATCTTTCTGGATTTTTTCGCGACTTTAGACTACGGTTTTAGACGTCTCCAAGTTATTATATAGTTGTTACAGGACCTGTCCCGTCCCGTGACTATGATTGCTGTAAAGCACTCGGAAGGTCGGGAACCGAAAAATCAAAATAAATCCGAGAAAAAATAGTTTTATTTACTAACGGCTCACCCTTTCTTCGCTCGGGTTTATCCCTAGGTACGATTTATATAGATATAAATAGTTATCATCCAGCGTTATCCATGTAAATGTTTTTTTTTCGTTAATTTTTTCGATGTTTTAATACTTATTATCCTATTCCGGACTAAAATATATCATAAAAAATGGTCCAGCCGTTCTTGAGTTATAAATGATGTAACTAACACAACTTTGTTTCATATATATATATATATATATATATATATATATATTATATATATATATATATATATATATATATATATATATATATATATATATATATATATATATAAATATATATATATATATATATTTATTTATTTATGTTACCATTTTAACAATAGTAGTGTGACACACATAGTGCAAGTAAGACAATGTACCCACCTCCCTGGAGCGCATGAGGTAGCGCACGTGGCGGCCGCGCAGCACGGCCAGCGTGTTGCGGTCCAGCTCCACGCCGCCGCCCACCACCGACTGCACCAGCACCTGATAGCGCGCCAGGGAGCTCTCCAGCAGCCGGATGTCCTTCTTGTCCACTCTATACATTTAAACAATAGCTCATATAAACGGAATAGAAGGTAAATATCGCCAGATAAAAATAAAGAAAATCTTAAAAAATTAACTAATAACGTTTTTTATAAACGATATTCAGCTTTAAATATCTAGGAATCACAACGCTCCAAGAGTACCTATTATTTGTTTAAGTGTAATCTATCCATTCATACCAACTTCATCATGCGCCGTTACTTTGAAACAAAATTAAAATGTCCGTGTCAAGCATAAAATGTTAATGCCAGCTTCCATACAAAATTGTTTGACCCCGTCTGTCCATTCCTTCACCCAACACCTGTGTTTGCATAGGTAGTTGTTCTCTATAAATTTAAAATTGAAATAAACCATTCAAAATATTGCTGGTATAAAGAACCATGGATAAACGCAGACCTTTTGTAATAAAGTAGATTGAGCCTGTGGCTTCACTCTTATATGTGTACATATTGTTTTTATTTATATATTTTTTTTGTTTATGGGTTTAGAGTTATTACATATCTTTACTCATATAAATGTACTATGATGTTTGTAGGTTGTCGTTCTTTCCATAGACTACTATTATATACAGAGAATTCTTTTATGTGAAAAAGTATGACATACCCTTTATTCTAAATCCATCAAATAATTCTGATGCGGCACTAATATATTTCATAACAATGTCAATTTTACAATATTATAACAGGAGTCGCTAATTTCACAGACTAACTGATAAACAAACATTATATATTTATCTAAAACTTTTTCAATAAATTGCTATTTAATGTTGAATCTTTAAGTACTTTACAAAGCTTTCTTATAATTATGTGAAAATTTGACATCTATACAATATTATACATACATATAATAAAATTATAACTCAGTCAAATCTGTACATTAATTATTTTTTTTGGAAAATCTTATTGAAATAGTCATTATTATTTTAGAATTTTTGTCTGTCTGGGTACGCATCACGAGCATACCACTGAACAGATTTTCATGAAATTTGGTATGATGATAGCTGGTTAACTGGGTCAACATATAGGATACTTTTTATTGCAGAAAAATATTTCACCTTTGAGAAGTCTATACTAAACCTTAAAAGGTGGGTGAGATACTATTAGTCTATATAAATATTATAAAAAGGGATAATTTTGTTACCTGTCAGCCAGCTGCATTTCCCTTTCAATGCCATCTTCTTTGTAGTCAGGTAATTCTGAATCATTCATAGTTTCTTCAGCATCAGAGAATGTCATGACATTATCACCTTTACCTTAAAATGTTATGTTGCATTATTGTTTAATTAAATACATAAAAAAATTTAACATAAGGAGCAGGCATTGTTCTAAAAATTATTACTTAATTCAGAAACTGCAAACTAAATAATTATACTACATAAGAAAATTTCTACACTGATATTCTTAAAATAGATCAATTAATAAGAAAATGTATAGACACTTTGGTTGGCTAATTTAAATAACAATTAATTATTATGTACAATTATACCTTTAGGCAGTGGTTGAACAGTTTGATCTGGTAATAGTTGATACTGTTTTAGCAGTTGCCAGTGAGTACTTAATGATTTTGCGGTGCGTGTTTGGTAAAACACGTGAGGATTCTGTTCCAACAACTCTTGAAACTTCTCTGGTGCTGGGTGAGAATTCTGTAAGGTAAAATAAAATATACTTAATTTATTAAAAACAACCAACCATTTAGTCCTCCAACCCGCACTTGGCCAGTGTGGTGGACTATGGCCTGATTCCCCTCATATTGAAGGGAGGCCCATACCCAGCAGTGGGACTTTAAAAAGGGCTGAATACATACATATTAAAAACAATCATTTCTTTATTTCCTGTCTAATAAATATGACACAAATAATATTATAACATGGACTTATACAACTGGCCCTAGCTTCATTCAAGCCCTAACCACATCTCCTTTAGTATTTTTTTTAATATATGAATATCCTTTGACAACAAAAAAAATACCAATATAAAGAAGTAGCTTGTGTGAGTTGTGTCAGAATCTGGAACATAATTTTTTTTGCAAATAAGAACAAATCAGCAGACATCTTTTAAAATTTTCAACATTGTATATACTAGTTTTTGTTTCTAGCTTTGCTATGATATGGCTGTTTATTGAGAATTCTTCAATAGTACCTTTCTCAAATACTATGTCATAAAATGCAAAAAGTATTTTTCAAGTGCAAATAATCAATCGATTCCAGAGATTAGTGTATTCAAACAAATAAAAAAGAAAAAGAATAGTAGTGATTACCAATTAGTAAAAGAAAAGCTTTTATTATAAGTTACTTCTTTTACTCACACTAGGCAAAGTCCCCAGTAATTCTTCCTCAGCATTTGAAAACAATGCTTGCTCTTGCACTGCAGCCACTAAATCTGGGTGTAAGTTTCGCATTGCAGCCATAGCAACTCTTGACACCTCTGCATTGTATAGCAGGGCATACCACCTAGATTGAATTTCGGCTACTGTAAAGCGGCAAGAAAACTTCACCCCTCTGTGAACTATACGCAAGTCATTTGTCTGAAATGATTTATAAATGTCATCAAAATTATATTAGTCTACTATATTGATTTTAACATAGTGTTCAATATATCTAATATCAAAATGTCACCTGTTGAACTCCCAAAATTAGGGCGAGGTCATCAGTTGGCTTCCATCTTCCCAAGTCTTTAGTTGATAACTGACTCAGTTGTCCTTTGCGCCTAGGTTTACGTCCACCACTTCCACCTCCTGATATCTTACTAGAAGCTCTACGTCGTTCAGGCTGTGGTACTACTGGTGTAACGGGCGCAGCAGCCACGGTTGGAAATTCTGACAAATGGCTTGTGTAAGACTGACTTCGCATTCTCTTTTCATTTTTGCCTAACGATGCTCCTGGTAAGCCTAAGCTATACTCTACTAATTCATCATCAAAGCGTCTTCTCTTTATAGACCTTGAAGAACTGAAAATATTTGAAATGTTCTGTATTGTATTTCTATGTATTTAAATATAACAATAATCTATCAAATCTACCTTCGCCTTTTTGTATTATCTTGCGCTGCATCAAATTGCAAAGGTGTGGCACCTGCGTAATCATTACTATCAGATGCATTAGATGGTGTAGCAGGAAAATCCATGCTAAAACGTAGTCAATTTTAAAAGAAATAATTACTTTTTTGAAATGAACTATATAAATGTATATTTTAGTATTTACACTTTACAATAGCGCTTACAAATTACAATGAAATTATGATTTATGATCACAATTCACAGAATATGGAGACTAAAATTATGATTTTAATTATTGATTTTATTTTTAAAAACAAGTTTGAAGTTGAGTGTTGACACGATACTTTGACGTTTGTAACAGATAATATATTAAAGTTATACACAGTATTCACTTTCTGATAATTTTCTGAAGGACGTTAACACTAATTTCGAAAAAATCTATGAATTCATCACACAACTCTGAGTAATTAAAATTTAAAACGGAAGCCAACTCTGAGATGTAACTTCAGATGGGCAAATAACAAAGGCCCGGCGGGCCGCAGGTTGAGTATAGCTGCATTAAACAATTTTTGGAAAATCTTATTAAAAAAAACATTATTATAGATACAGAGGCCGAATCTATAGTTTTTAGAATTTTTGTCTGTCTGTTTGTTACCGCATCACATAAAAACCACTGGAGGGATTTTGATGAAATTTGGTATGGTGATTGCTGGTTATCCGGGTCAACATATAGGATACTTTTTACCGCGGAAAAATATCTCAGTTCTGAAAAAAAATACAAAAACTGCAATGTAAGAGTATACTAATATGTAAAACCTAAGAATATGGTTTTTGGTCATCTGAATGCGGGCGGAGCCGCGGGGAATGCTAATTTCTTATATATATATATATAAATATATAAATATATATATACTAAAATACGTATAGTACTCGTATAGGTTTATTTCTTGTTGTCTATTACTTTATTTTTTTTCTGTAGGTACCATTTTATAATCTTAATTTTTTTGACATAATGAAGTTTTGCTTTTGACAACCTATTTTGTAGGTTAATTTTTTCTGTAAAGATTAAATTAAAAAATATTTCAATTACAATTATGTCGTATTTGTTGCGAACATTCTCAAAAAAACAGAAACGTATTCTCGTAAGATGTTATAATAAAATAGTAATTACTGATGATGGATCTACTATTGTTGCCCTACATCAAGAACAAGAATTTCCATATGAATTCTCAAAACCGTTACCAGAAGCGACACAAAAAGATGAAGGTATACTCAGAATGAGCGATTATAATGAAGTAAAAAGAGTTTTTAAAGATATGAAACCTGAAATGGCAAGGCAGCAGTTAGCATCTATAACTTTGACAACAACTCACCGCTGGTTCCCCAGAGCAAGAGATAAGAAAGCTAAAGAAAATCAGATGAACCGACCTTTCCTATAAAATAAATATCTGTTTATATATTCGTAGTTTAGGAGAATAAATTAGTCATGTAAATATTCTTGCTTAGTATGTTTTAGTCTAAACACTACTTCCTACACATACCTACATAAGTTGATCAAAAATTAAATTTTTAATTGATTATATGTGATATCTCATACATTGAACATCAGAGAACTTACATGGTTCATATTGGAGCATTCCAAGAATTTAAATAATTGTACACTGCTAAGAAATCAAAAACTTCACAACAAAAGTAGTCAGGTTATTTCTAGAATTCAGGGCCTCTGAGACGGTCCAACGGTTTGACTCAAACATGTAGATTTTGGTTTGACTCAAATCATTTTGATTGTTTACATAGATAGTTTCAATGATTTGTCAAATATATACGAGTTTGAATCATGTTTGATGAAAATTCATATTTTTGTTGTGTTCGAGGGATCTTGCCTGCGTCACAAGTCTAATTACAACAGCGTACCGAACCAAACTGTGCAGTGCTGTTTGACAAACCGTTCAAACCAACATCAAACGCTTGCATCAAACACCGTTTGAGTCGAACCGTTGGACCGTCTCGGGGGCCATTTAGGATAAAAATCATCTGAATGCAAACTATATTTTATTACTAGCATTACTCGCGGCTCCGCCCGCGTTCAGATGACCAAAAACCAAATTCTTAGGTTTTTCATAATAGTATACTCTTCTTACATTGCAGTTTTTGTATTTTTTCTCAGAAATGAGACGTTCTTCCGCGTTAAAAAGTATCCTATATGTTGACCCGGATAACCAGCTATCACCATACAAAATTTCATTACAATCCCTCTAGTGGTTTTTCTGTGATGCGGTAACAGACAGACGGACAAAAATTCCAAAAACTATAGATTCGGCCTCTATCTATAATAATGTTTATTTTAATAAGATTTTCCAAAAAATATTTAATGTACAGAGTTGGCTTAGTAACAATTTTATGATATGTTTAGATTATCCAATTATCTTATGAACAAAGGTAATCTTATTTAACTAAACAGCATCCAGTGTTGAAAAGAACATCACTTTTGCAAATTTTACTTTTGTTAACTACAATTATTGAGAATAAAAATAGAAAAAAAAATGATGTAAGCTTTATTCAGTTTTAAACAATATAAAATTATTATTAAATAATAATTAAAAATGAAGCCAGGAGAGGTTGTGAACAGAAAATAAAGGAAAGTAAATATAAATAAGTTTATTTTCAATAAATAGTTATATAATAGATTTACATTTTAACACACTATGAATCTATTGCTAGATAATGTATTTAAGATCATTATATGTATACTACAATATAAGTTGTTTTATCTAATATATTGTGGCAACAGTAACAACAATCTTGGACTTGTCGCATTCTCTTGTATTTAAAAGACCATCAACAATAAAATATTTATCACAGTTACAAACAAATTACCTTAAAATAAATATGATTCTGCTTTAATAAAATAAAATATTTCTCATATTACCATCTTTAACTCCTACTTTTGCTATATAAGGCAATACATTGATTTTTAAATAAGCTATGACAACTATTTTATAGAGAATCTTCATCGTTTTCATTCATTAAAAATATATATCAAAAAATAAAGACAGAATAAACTATTATGAGATACACATTCCATTTTCAATATCACATTTGCCACCTTTGGTACTTGTTACTTAACAATATTGCACTTGATTATTATATTTTATACATATTTTAGACTAGCTCAATCCACAAACCTATATAAATTAATTTCATATTTTTAATAAAATTACTTTTTATTAAAAATATATTTTATACAGTCTATATTTTTCAAAAATTATAATATTTAATAACTAAATCAATATAAAAAAATAGATTCTAAAGTTTATTTGGAATTATTGCAATCATAAATAATTTTTATAATGTACAATGAAAAGCCTCATTGCTAGTCAACGTTGGACCCAACCTAATGTGCACTTCATTACAACTAATGCTCATTACGAGGGACTAAGTAAAATAAATAGTAACTGTAAATATAGGTCAAACAAATGTATGCTGTACTAACTGGCTTTGACATAATTTAACATGTCAACGTTGCCCAACGACATGTTTATTTATTTACATTATATAAGTGAAAGTATTTTTATTCAATAATGATGATGAAGCTATCACATTTAGAATTTAAAATGTTACACGTAATATAGTGTGCAGCCAAAAATCATAAGTTGGCAGCCGAAAACTCAAGACCATTTCTGATGTTGACATGATGAGATCATGAGAATTTTAGTCAGATGCTCAAAGAGCAGACATTAGGGCTGTCGATTTTCAGATATAATTTCTCAGATGTTAAAATTAAAAACTAGATAGAGCAAAAGTCATTTTAATTATTGTATTAATAATTTCTTTTTAGTAAGTTGGCAGCCCTATTTATCTGACTGCGGCGAAGCCCAAAGGCTTATGTGTTTGATCTGTATGTCCGTTCCCTCGTAATTACTAAACGGCTTAACCGATTTTGATGATGCATACGTCATTAAATTTGTCTTCGTAACGCGAGTGTCATGGGTATTTTCGGATCCTAGACGCCAATTTGTGTTTCTTTTTTAGTTCGAATCAATCGTGTATTAAAATACAGCTTTTTAAGAGGTTTAAAAGTGATTTAGAATAAGAAATTGTTAAATTAAATTCCAAAGGTCTAACTGGCTAGAACTAAAAAGCTGTAAATAAAAAAATAATTTACATGAACAAAAAAAAAACAGACTGCGTAAAAAGGGAACTAAAAAGATCAGAACAAGTCGACAAAGACACATAGTATTATGCAGTCGGAAACATATATACATATTTTATAATATGTTTCTTGGTCAACTTTTTTATTTTTTGATTTATACCGTCACTAAAGTGTCATTATTTACAGTTATAAAGAAGTTTAAACTAAAATTATTGGTGGGAAAAGTTATGGTCTATAATAACTCTTTAACAGGTCTGGTTAATTCTTTGGTTATTTTCTGTGCTCTAATTATTTATTGTATTTATTGGTTTTATTGATATGTTTAAATTTATTTTTTCCCACTTAACTCTAGTCATAAACATCTTTTTCATAAATAATTACATTTTATTATTTTCAATAAAGTTATCTCACAACTATAAGGCTAGAGTTGTACTATAGTCAAACTTATATAATTTGTTCACTGGAAGTTAACACCTTAAGTTAAAATGGACACTGATTAGTGTTTTAATTCTAGCTTTAAAGGTAACATTATAAAAATAACAATAGTTTTAACTATCCATAGAAAATAAACACAATGGCACACGAGATTAACAATCCACAACAATTTACCACTATTTGTTTGACAAATATATTACTTTAATATACTGGATGAATATTTAGACTGACCGTCCTTATAACTTTGTAACAAATAATAAGCCTATAATATACAATTCAAGATATAGGTTTAAAATAGCCTATAAAATTTTAAAATGTTTGGTTTGGTTTGTATCGAAATCGTTGTAACTGGAGGTTAATGCAGATTAATAGCGACTTGTGTAAGCTCGATCAAGGCTTCGCACACGTAGACGCGAGTTGCCGATTTCGTAGGACAAGCTGTAAAGGGGGGAGATGGGGGGTTGATGTCAGCGGACCCTGGAGAGGCGGAGTTCCCTGTCCAGCTCTTGCAGTTGGCGGATAAATCCATCGTTAGGGTGGATATCCCGCCTGGAGCGTACAAGAGCAAGAGCCTCAGTCAAAGTCATTCCACGCTTGATCATAAGGAAGGCGATGGCGCACGTCGCCGACCTTGAAACACCCATCATACAGTGCACGAGCACGCGACCTGTAACAGTGACCTAGTTTTGAATCCAATTTAATCCATTACTGCTGAAGTACTGTAGCTACTGGAATGTTCAAACACTTCTAGGTATAAGAAGATTTGTTTTAATTTTATTATGCCATATGATATGTTTATTTAAATCTGTTATTTACATCCATTTTATAAAAAGATATTTTCTTGGCTTGCATATATATATGTAATATATATATATATATAAACAGCTTTTAAATAATAATAAAATATTAAAATCACAAACTGACTACAACTCTCCTTATTCAAATTGATAGGTCAAATGTGCTTGTATAAGTATAATTGAATGAAGTAAATTTTCATTTCATTAATTTCAAACATTTCTTCTTTCTTTGTATTTTTTAATAATAATAATAATCTTTATTTGAAGTAAAAAATCAGGTTACAAAAATATACTCTACATAACTGTTTCGCTTAAGACATAATAATATAAGATTATCCAGTAAAAGCGCTTAGTTCTCACAAGGAAAACCTGTATTACAAGCACCATTACCTTCCTCTAGATTTACAATATATAGACAAAATAGTTAACAGATATTGAAGTTAGTAGATTATAATGGTAGAAGATAGAATAAACAAAATAAAAGAAACTGTTTGTGTGTGTTTGTATATATGTGTGTGTGTGTGTGTGTGTGTATGGTGTGAGTGTGTGTATGTGTTGTGTATGCATTTAATTGTGATTATATATAATTTATAAGTTTTCCTTATTTATTTATTCTTTATGATAATTTTATTGAAAACAGTTAATGTACAATATTTACAAAATAAAGACATACCTCCTCTAGATATCCCTTCGTCAATGAAATTTGCAGCAATGTGGAAGTACCTAGATATATCTGTGGTAGGGAGGTCCATCAACTGAAAGCCCCTGTACCGGATCCCGGGGCAATCTCGGTAATAGAGATGGTCAGTATCAACTTGCGTGTAACGTTTTCCCTCTGCAGTATTTAGTACGTAGTTGATACCCATGCGACAAAGAAACGCTTTGTCTTTTGCAGCAACCCTATTTTACAGTATTCAGTTTAATGGAAAAAAATCTTAAAATAATTTGACTTATTTCATAATTTATTTCTTTCATAGTAATCAGAAGAAATAAATAATAAATAAGATATTTTTTTTATATTAGAAGAATCTATGTATTTATTCTATCATTTTGTAACAGTAGGAATTATTTTATGAGAACAATTTTAAAATATCTACTAATGTATTTAAGCAAGACTAAATTGATGACAAAAAAAAATAACTTACGCATCTCCGACAAACAGTCCTGGATAAACTTCATTTACATCTGGTGTAGGACTGTATGTCAGCCCCACACTTGTGTACGGCCGGGATCGAAAGGAAGACAGCGAACTTAACACTGAAGACTGTGGTGACCCATAGCTCTGCACATAATATTTGGGCTTAAGACAACTACACAAAATTTGACCCATTTCTGTTAGTAAAATCACTCAAGTGTTAATAAATTGCTGTGCATGTTAAACAGAACTAAATTATTTTATCATAATGTTTATCATTATTTGCATGTCTAATAAATATAACATGACAATTTAGAGTAGTTAGTCTAAATAACAATTTAGAGTAGTTATTGATAACAGTCCATTATGCAAATATTTCTTATTTGCAAGGAAAAATATGTATAAAATAATATAGAACAGTATAAGAATTTAACAGTGAAAATTTAATAAGGCATTATTGACTTCTATAAAACTAAATAAAAGATGAGATTCAAAATAACTTGTAGCCATAGTTCATGATATTATTAATAAGCAATGATTACAAGCAAAACTTCAGCACACATTTCAAAAAAATTTCAATGATAATCAAATTTACAATTTATTACTGTAAAATGTAAATTATACTCATTGAAATCTTAAAACCCTGTACAGCTGTATAAAGTAGCTGGAGGGGTTTTTATTTGTAAAGATAAATACCATTAATGTCCTAAGGTAGGAGCCTACTCGTTGTTCTTTAGCTGCACAGTATGAATGATATCTTGGAAACAGTGAATACTGCCAATAACAAACATTAGTTTAGATGAGAAAGCATATTATAACACAATGTTAAAAAGTAAAATATATATGTATGTACTAAATATATATTTATGATCATGTATTTATGGCAATAATGAAAAATTACTAATATGAAATAAGTAAAATTACTATTTACTTAGTGGTAAACAAAAATATATTTCAGTTAGAATATAATAGACAAGATATTATATATAGATTCTTATATTTGTGCTGATCTTCTGACTGACAAGGTCGCTGATATCCATTTTATTTGTCAGAAAACAAATTAGTTCATATTCATTAGAACCAAAAGAATAGTACTATCATAAATATTGTAGCATAATAACATTTATAATTAGATTTAACTTAAAGAAAGAATATAGAATTGTGAAACAAATGAGAAGGGTCTAATTTAGATAAATATAATGAAAATATTTAGTTACGTATTTAAAAACGTAAACTTGGTTTGGAAAGACAATACCCAGTCATATTATAATACGTCTCAGAAAAACGATATGCTTCCTCTAAATGGACCACACTCGTGACCTTCAAGTATGACTAATAATGATGCAAAAATAGGCTGAGGCAAAAGATAAATTCTATTTTTAAGTCTTGTATTAAATGCATTTTTAGAAAGAAAATAATTAACACAATAATATTTTCAATTGCGATCAGTATGATTATAAATAAAGTTAAATTATTAAACTTACGGAATCTCTGTAGCTCATTTTAATTTATTAATCTCTTAACACTTAAAACGAATGTACTGACACGTTTAAATAATAATTAAATTATTATATAATTAAATAAGTAATTTACAACGTATTATAGTTTTGATTATAGTTTCCAGCAGGTAGATTTAATAACCGGAGTACAATACAATGAAATTGAAGTTACACTGTTACACTACCACAACACTACTTGAATAGGGAAATCAGAAATGTAAAAAAATCCAATAGGCAATAGGGCTGTGGTCTGCTGTAGAGTGTAGAGTAGGGACGTTGCGATACTAGTAAATACGAGTAGGTACTCGATACTTTTGATTCGATACCAAGTACTAATAGCATCAAATCAATCTTGAGATACTTACTCGGTATCGAAACTAAAGTACTTGGTATCGAATCAAATCAGACTGACCTTACTTCCGATTTCCGAACGCATCAGATAGAACGAGAGAGCGAAGGCCATCTCTCGCTCGGTTATCGGTAAAGCGCCCCTGGCGCCATTCGTGTTTCGCGCCAGACGAGCCGAACCCGTTCGACTTCACCCGAGCCGAGACCGAGAGAGCCGCCATTTCACGATCACGGTGAAATTTTCACCTTTTAATTGTCACTGTCTAAGTCGGCAGTGTTCAGCACATTAATATTAATAATATTTGATCACACAAGTGATTCTATACGTTACGAATAATTTAAGTTATTGTAGTCATCGGTTTATTATTCCAATATTATTATGGCACCACCAAAATCATTAATATGGACATATTTTACTAATACAAGCAAAAAATATTTTTCGTTAATTAAATAAAAATTAGTTCATTAATTACTTAAATTTTTACCCTCACAAAATTATTGTCATTTAGCATTTGCTACGTTACAAGTGTTTCATAAAAAAAATCTAAAAGCATCGATATCAGTAAGTATCGATACATTAGGAGTATTTATATGAGTAGTATCGAAAAATGATTTGAGTACTACTGATATGAATAGGTATCGATACTTTGATGGTATAGGAACATCCCTAGTGTAGACTATGTAGAAATCATGGATGACAAATAAAGTCAAGACCATGGACCAAGAACAACAAGAGTCAAGACTCTAGACTGTACTCTCCATTCTTGTTGTTCCTGGTGTATGGTCTCCATAATCTGTGGACTGCGCTCCGTTATGAACCTACCCTACCCCAGCCTGCAAATTTATGATATTTGCAATGAAAAAAATACTAATCGATAGATTTTCAATAGCTCAATTTAACTACGTAGCCCTTTCAAATTGCTCACCTTTAATTATTTAATTAAAAATCAATAAAGTCTTTGAAAAAAAAATAATTTATCTGTATATTCAAACTCCTATATCTTTTGATGTATACAATATTTCAAATTGCTCAAAGTTCTAAAACACTGCTCAAGTTGCATTTGTAATTGCTCAAGTAGAGTTTTTACCAGCTCCACTTTCGCTGATTATTAAATAATTAAATGTTCTTTATGTTATAATATCTGAAGTGGAATCACGTAATGTGAACAATTCATAAATTCAATAAATTTAAAGAAATCCACCGAGAAACAGACTTAAGACGTTGAATTGGAACGATTGTCCAAGCCCGCCGAGGCCGACCGACAATGCGCGGTGCGCATGCGCACGCTCACTTAACCTACGTTACATTTATTACAACTATACTTTTAATTATTTAATAATCAGCGAAAGTGGAGCTGGTAAAAACTCTACTTGAGCAATTACAAATGCAACTTGAGCAGTGTTTTAGAACTTTGAGCAATTTGAAATATTGTATACATCAAAAGATATAGGAGTTTGAATATACAGATAAATTAATTTTTTTTCAAAGACTTTATTGATTTTTAATTAAATAATTAAAGGTGAGCAATTTGAAAGGGCTACGTAGTTAAATTGAGCTATTGAAAATCTATCGATTAGTATTTTTTTCATTGCAAATATCATAAATTTGCAGGCTGGGGTAGGGTAGGTCCGTTATGACTTAGTAGTAGATATATACTATGTTCATTGTTCTGTAGGACTGTGGTATGGTCTGTGCATCTGCATAGAGTATTGGGTCTGTGGTCAAGACAGAAAATTTTAGTTGACAACATAATATGAAAAACTAATTGAAGAAATTATTGATATGTGGGTGAATGAATAATGTTAATATAATTATTACTTCTGTGTTTAAGCTTCCTATAGTTTTCTTTATGTAAATTGAGTATAATAACAAAAATGGATGAGAAGGAGGAATTACATCTAACCTCGCAAGAGTTACAAGTGTTGTCAGAACTTGACAGGTATGTTTTTTAAACAAATCTTTTATTATATATCATAAAATATCATTATAGTCAAATCAAATCAACGGGAATAATGTTATAACACCTGTATAAGTTTTATCAAGTACTATGTCCCTATTACCTATATCATGAAATGTCTTAATAATTAACTGACGTTCTACAATTTAAAATTATATGTTTTAAAGCAAATTACTTTAATTATCTTACTTATGCTTTACAGCCGTCAGTTTGGATTTTTAAAACTTCGTGGTACTGAACATGGAAGAACTCGTGCACTGGTTCTCAAAGCAGTCAAATATCTGGAGGGCATGTTGGTTCAAGTTAAGGTTAGTTCATTTACTAGTTCTATTACATTATACAATTATAATAATGGGTTTAACAAAAATAACACATACTTATTTAATGTGTAAAACGAAATAGAGAGCCCTATTATATTTAATTTGTAAATTGTAATAATTAAAAATTTTGTTGTTATTATTAAGAAAATAATTCTTCAATCAATAATTTAATCTTATTGACTGACGACGAAGTCTGTCTTGTTGAGTGAAGTTTGTAGTGACCCTACTTGCTGTGCCAGTGGTCACCGGTCTGAATCCCGCTGGGATTCATTTGTGTGATGAGCACGAATGTTTGTTCCCCAGTCATGGATGTTTATATTTATAATATTTATGTATTTAAAGTTAAATATGTGTAGTGTATCAACTATCTAGTATTCATAACACAAGCTTTGTTGCTTACTTTGGAACTAGATGGTGCTGTGTGTTAATGTCCCAACATATTTATTTACTAGTGACTCACTCTCGCTTTGCTGGGGTTCCTCCCTAGGTCGATTCCCCATACAAATGTTCAACCCCAGTTTCACCCCCTTAAGAGATGATTTGCGGGATAAAAAGTATCCTATCTCCTTCCCAGGGTCTCAAACTTCTTACCAAATTTCATTTAAATCGGTTCAGTAGATTCTGAGATTATCCCCTACAACCTCACAAACTCACAAACTTTAACTCTTTATAATATTAGTATGTGTATGTATGTATGTATTCAGCCCTTTTTAACGTCCCACTGCTGGGCACGGGCCTCCCTTCAATACGAGGGGGATCAGGCCATAGTCCACCACGCTGGCCAAGTGCGGGTTAGAGGACTTCACATGTCTTTCGAAAACTTGCTAAGTTCTCTCACCCATGCAGGTTTCCTCACGATGTGTTTCCTTCACCGTAAGGCAAGTGGTAATCATGTTAGAAATAATATTAGTATAGATTTTATTTATTTACTTGTCAGGAAGAAGAGAGGGCTTGTTCCCCTGGTGCTAGAAGAGAAATTTGTATAGATCCCAAGACATACTGCAAGTTAGGACATTTCCATTTACTACTTGAGGATTATGCGAAAGGTAATTTATTGACAACTTTTTTGATACAATTTACAAGAAAAATGAACAGATAAAATTGATTATACTTTTACTGATAATTACTTTTTCTTTATGAAACTCATTTTAATTTCAGCAATGTCAGCCTATCAGAAATTTTATGCTTTGGAGCAGGATAATTGGAAAGATCCACTTTTTCTCTATGGACTGGGCCTCTGCTATTATCACTATAATGCTTTTGATTGGTAAGTTTTTCGTTAATTTCACATATTAAGATATAATGTATGTATATAAAAAGTACTAGAGCTTTATGAGTAAAGAAGGAATACTTTCTTAGATTTATGCGAATATTTGACATTTTAAATAAAACTATCTTTTCGGATTATTTCACGGATTTATTTTAATTTTTGGTTTCCGATATTTCAAATGCTTTACAGCAATCATGGTCACGGGAGAGACTAAGGTGATAGATGTCTCAAAGGCGTTATACACTTGTTACAGACAGTGCCTACCCACTATTTTATAAAAATGATTTCAAAAATTCAAAAAGGGCACCAAAGTACTTTCCAATATTTGTTAATTTTTATTTCTAAACATTTTAAAAAATGCTTAAATATTTTTTTTTTAATTTTTTCAATATTCTTTATGGTTATACTTAGTATAATAATAGCATTGACTGCCTCGGTCGTGTAGTGGCTAGCATGTACGGCTGCACACTCGGAGGTCCTGGGTTCGAGTTCCGGGTCGGGCCAAGTTTAGTTATTGAGTCTTTTTGTATAGTAAATCTCAGTAACAGCCCGGAGTTGGGAAGTTGGCGGTGTTTCACCCCCGTGCCTCGGAGAGCACGTAAAGCCGTCGGTCCTGCGTCTTAACTCTCACTGGTCGTGTCGAGCAATCGTCCCACCGGAGTATGACAGTGACGGGAATAGAGAGTGCACGTTGTGTCTGCGCGTACACTTGTGCACTATAATATCTCCTGCGCAGTTGCCTAGTCTCAATGAGATTGGCCGCCGTGGCCGGAATCGGCTAGGAGAACATCATCATCAATAATAGTAACACTAAATAATATTAGTAATTAACAAAGTTTAAAAAAAAATTGTAATATTATTTATTATAATAACAGCTAAAATTAAATAAATAATATTGCTATATTTAATTATAATCATTATAAAATTATCAGTTAGATTGTCTTGGGCGTAGGCCTTCTCCAAATTTAGCCAATCAATGCAGCTCCTTGCCAAATTACTCTATCCTGTTGTATATGTATTCAGCTTGTAATAAAACAATTTTATCTGTTTTATTTAGATTATTAATTTTCGATGTTTTGGATGTTTTACAGCACTTAATCAACTTTAAAGAAGTTTTAAGATAATCATTAAAAATCATACATGATTTAAATCACATCTCTAGAAAGCATTGAATGTCTTTTTTTTGGGTAGAAAAATAAGGCAATTGTAACATTTAATACCTCGTACATGATCATAGTTGCTGTAAAGCATCCGAAAGGAAAAATTAAAATAAAAAATAAATAAAAAAATGTAACAATAGTTTTATTACAAATTCTTTATCTTTTTGGTAGATTATCTCCCACCTTTGCGTTGCCTGCTTCTTTGTATGTTGTATGGAGGGTAGAAGTAGTATGTTGCTATCTTGGGGGTATGATTTTTTTTTTCATCTATTTTCTAGTGTCGTTCTCATTTCAGGCCTTTTAGGACCGCCCCTCACTATAGTGCCGATCACTGTCCGTTCTCGGTCCGATATCGGTCTGGTAAAGTATTATTATACAAGAAATAATGAGTGCATTCATACTATCAGGAAGACTCACGTTCCGGTCGAATCACGCTCCAGCAACGTTTCTTGTATAGAAAATACGAGCGGCCCTTAGGGTAGATCGACACTGTAGTGCCCACCATAGTCCGTTCTCGGTCCAATATCGGTGTGGTAAAGTGTTTTTATATAAAAAACGTTGCTGGAGTGTGACTGTACCGGAACTTGATTCTTACTGATAGTTTGAATACACTTATTGTTTCTTGTATATAAATACTTTACTAGACAGATATCGGACCGAGATGGCGAGAACGAACCGTGATCAGCACTATAGTGTTGGAGCGGGCCTTAATCGCCGATAGGGATTTATATACTTTTTATTTTATTTTTCTATGTTGCGGCTATATGTACCACGTCGACCATTTCTCGCCTATTGTGAATCCGACATATTAGAGTAACTTACTAAACCCTACGACTAAAGGTATAGAAGTGTAAATATTGGCAATGTGCTCCCAGAACCAAATGTAATGAATATAATATTAAGTATGTTATTCATTTACATTACTATTTACGTAATTTTTGACTGCCTGTCTCTTACTGCTATTGACTGACCTTGAAAAATGACCCGATAACAGCAAATTTTTTAAACTTTTCGTTCTCTAAAACTAATTACTATTATTTAAATTCTAGCAAATGTCATTCCAAAGCTAAACTGTAGACAATGTTATGACAAATATTACGTATATCTATCTTAATTCTTCGTTAATGAATGATAAACAATTTTTTTTATAGAAATATTATTTTCTTGACTTTTTCATTTTTAAATGTAAACTACGCTTCAAAACAAAATTATAATTATTATTTTTTTATTTATATGAGTAACATTTTTTATTGTTTAATCTTTTTTATTCAGATTAAAAGTTTATTATCCTTTATTTTATTTACGTTTAATTTTATTCTATTATGTAAATGTTTAAGATTAAAATTAAAATTACCATACATATTGAGGCTACTCGTAACTAATATGTTAAATTTCAAGTTCAATAAACTTTTTATAGCTTTATTCTAAGTGTAATATCATCTGCGTTTAATTTATTTTGTCAAATGAAAATGCTTTTTAAGCATGCATTTTGGTTTAACTGGTTTTGAAAACTACAATAGGTCTACGAAAAGAATATTTAGTCACAACCCGATTTTCGACTTCTAAATTGTTAAAGACTAACTAAATTCATTAACATTTGTATATAAAATATTTCGAATCACTTCCCTTCCCGTTTCCGTTTCTTTTCTTGATTGTAATTTTAAAGTTTAAACTCGTACAAGACTCCTTAGAAAAACTTTTTAATTAAAAAAAAATAAAAATATTTTCAGTATAGTTATTTGTTTCTTTGTTGTTAACATTGATTTTCTATTAACGGTTTGGACTCTTTTAAACTAGCACACTCACTTCCCAATTTCTGCCCTAATGGATTAATTGCTCTGTTAACTACTGCACTGCTAACACAATATATGTATATGTATAGCAATATATTTGTTATTCAAACTTTTGTAAATTAACAAAAGAAAATATACATTCTAAAAAGGGAGGTTTTAAATAATAGTCTAAGTAAAGGAAAATGAAATAATTCGCTCGCAAATCAAGTTTGCGTAACTTTACCTGCTGATTATTATTGAAAAATCAGTCTTAACGACGACACGTTTGGCTCAGTATGTAATGTATGTAGTAACCCTACTTGCTGTGCCAGCGGTTGCGGGTTCGAATCCCGCTGGGGGCATTCGTTTGTGTGATGAGCACGAATGTTTGTACTCCAGTCATGGGTGTTTATATTTATAATATGTATGTATTTAAAGTTATATATATGTAGTGTATCAACTATCTAGTATCCATAACACAAGCCTCGTAGCTTACCATGGAACTAGATGGTGCTGTGTGTTAATGTCCAAACATATTTATTTATTTATTAATATATTGGTTGGAAGAAGCAGGATAAATGATTTGAAGTGCGTATTTAGTAGGCATACTATAAACTAGTACATATATAGTATTCCTAGTAAATTAACTAACATCTAGATGGCACTGTTGATATTTAAAAGATATAACTACTGTTAAAAACAGTTAGAGTGGGATGAATGTTGGTACATATAATATACAACATATTTATACAATTAAATAATTTAGCAGAGTGTGGATCAACGCCATCTATTATCTATTCAAGCAAACAAAAATAATCCGAATTAGCGCTTTTTAATTTTATTATGAGATATAGCATCCGTACTAGTAGTTAGTACAAAAAGTTATTGTTTTGTATATATAGTATTACGTCATCTGTGAGAGATAGGACATTACTATAAGTCGACCTTTTTGGCAGTCATTTAAATATTACACCGTATGACGGAGGTTTAACATGGAAAGACAGGCATAAATATGAGAATGGCATGTACCTTGATCACGATGAAACTGATGCTCGGTTGAGAGAATAACCAAGGATATTCTCGAACGAAAGATAAACACTGTCAGTCAAATAGAGTTAGTCCAATCGCCAATTTTGTTTCGATAACACGCTTTATGGATTTCAATAAAAATCACGTCTATTGTATCGAACCCCTCAAACATCCTACCCTTATTTTTAATTAATAGTTATATTTAAATTTAAGGACATACCGAATTATATCTTTTATCGAAATAATAAATCCTAAGAAAAAATCTGACATAAAAAATATCCTAGTTACACATTGTTTGGATTTTCTTAAATATAAAAATAGAAAATATAAACTTAGCCATGCTCCGACGTATTATGAAGGTAATGAACACTTTGTTTTCTTTGGTTGTCATTAAATGGGAATTATTTTTTACTTTTTAATGTGTCGTTTTTCGTATTGTATTTTTGTGTTGTTTTTTTTTAAATTCAACAGTTATATTCAAATTTAACTCCATACCGACTTATATCTTTTATCGAAATAATAAATCCTAAGAAAAAAAATCAATATAAAAAAAACCTAGTTACACATTGTTTGGATTTAGATAAATATAAAAAATATCATAAATCAATCAATAATAAAAAATACCATTCTTGTTAATGTGTTGACAGTTTGTTTTTTTTGTTGTTCTTTTTATGTTTTATGTCTTAATAACTTTATTACATGTTTACTAATTTTGGAACCCCTAAACGGTTTTCTGACCTCAACCTTCTTAGTTATTTTTTTGCGTGTTGTCTCGTAGTTATTACTTATCCGAACATTATTATTAGTCCTTCACACGTATAGGTAAATAGGTACATTGTTGATTGTACGTCTGCGTTTCTGAACTCTGATCTAACTAAGTTTAAATTAAGAATTCTATCTAATAATGACCTATTAGTTAAAATTTTTGATCTTTAATTGCCTAACTACATATTTGTAAATAGAAAAATAATTCAAGATTATATACCTATTTAGAAATTTCTTCAAATACCTAAAGTTTATCACCATGATATAAATATGTAAATTATTGACTTTAAAACAATGAATAATTTTATAAATAAAGCAGCTTTCTTCAATAAAATAGACCGGATGACTTATTGTTTGTTCTTCAAACACATTTTGGGGGACATAAAAAAGGATCTCACAGAAAGGATGTCGTATAGATATCGGCCGGGGCGCGATACTCGATAGTGTGTTCGTGATTCACCGGACGCGGGCCGTAGGACGAGCGCGGGGCACGTGAGCGGTAGGGCCCGCGCGGGGGGCTCTGCAGGGCGCGGGGGGCGCGCGGCGCGGGGTGGTGCACGCTGCAGCGCGAGGTCGTCGTTCGCTCGCGTCGCGTACAGCCAGTCGGGAGCGGGATGCGGTGACGTAAACTGCACTGGCGCGGGCCGCGAACGTAGTGTAGGACGGGACGAGTCGTAGTCGTGTTTTTATTTATCGAGTGCGTGCCTTCGACCATCCTGAGTGATTGTGCTGATTTTTGCGACGACCTCCCCGCTCTTCACTACGTAGGCCGCTGCGGCCAAGAAAATCCGCCCTGGATCCGAGGATCCCCGAAATGGTGAGTACGGTCGAAACTCCCGATCGTGGTTTGTTTACGTCGGCCCTCGTGCCGCTTTTCTCTTTCTCTCTACCTGCCGCCCGTATCCCTACATCGCATTCGCACGCGATTTATTCTATTTTGTTTTGTTACCGAAATGTAGACACCTACGTCGACGGCTCCGGAGCTGGTCCCGACGGGAGGTCATGTTTTTGTTTGTGTGCATGGTTGGTGTATTTTTTGTAGTATTTTCGCAGGTAGTCAAGCTAATCCCTAATTTCGGATCCAGTTGCAAAAATGATAGTCACGAGAGCGCAAAGAGGAGGGCGAATTTGCGAGGGCGAGCGGTGCGTGTGTGATCGCATCTAGTAAATAATGAACTCGCCCGCGTCGCATAAAATGTAGGTCGGTAGAGTGTAGCCGTTAGTTGCAAGTCGCAACACTGCTGCACGCGATGCCGAACTACACCTCTCCCTATTCTAGTCACTGACGGTGCAACGTTATTGCATCCGCTTCGTGCTTCATTGTTAAAGCAACACACATAGTTGGGTAGGTATATTATATGGCTGTACGTATTGTCTTAATTTATTTAACAGTGTTTGAGAATATCTTTTAACTTAAATGAATCATCAAACATTTACAGAAAATAACATATTTCAATATATTGTCTTTTTAAGAAGTAACATTAGATTTCGCCCGCGGCTTTGCTCAGGTGCTTATTTTCTAAATCTTATTAAATTCCGATGAGCCGTTATAACGTGAATAAGTTACAGACAAACAAACCCATTCACTCCAAAATCTATCGCATGTCTAATATCAGTGCGATTAATCAGGTAGTATGAATTAATAAGTATACCCAGTACATACTTACAAGTTATATTTCAAAAAACGTCTTAAATGAGTTCGAGTAGAGATAAGAGTAGTGTCATAATTGTTACGTATGTTCAGGAAAGTGAGTCATGTATAGTCGGTATGTAGTTTCGCGCACTTTTGTCTGCATGTCATTGGTTGCTGGACCGGTAGTGCTAGCGCGACGATATGCTCGGAAATTTAATGAGCTATTCGAACACAATAAAAATTATAATTACTGATTTGAATTTCTTGGAAAACCTACCAGTAGCGTGAAACAATTCTTAATTAGATTAAATCATTATTTTCAACGATTATTAGGGTAATAAGTGCCTGAGAAACAATTCTTACATATTTCAGAGAATTTTTGGCACTAAGTAAAGAATGACGATAAAAACACGTTTTAAATCGTTTTAAATTGATTATAATATATTTATTAAAGACAGTATGACAAACTTGACCTCGGGATTGCGTTACGCGTATAAATTGTATCCATTACATAACGTGCGTATCTTTCGTATCACATGTTTTATCTCCGGATCAGCTTATTGTAGCGAATCGTAAACTATGGTAGGCAATGAATAACCGGTTTGACCAGTGCTCTAGCTATACTTTTTCGATAACGGTATTTATTTAAGTTACCATAAAACAATCGTAGAATTTATATTCTCGTAAATTTTCTAATCATTTTCCAAACTTCGCAAACGAACTCGACATAAATACTGATGATATAAGCTCAGATCAATATTTCAAATGCGAATTATTCATGCAATTCATCATAAAAGTAGAAAAATAAAGTTATTTTTCAAGATATATTATTATTCATTGATTCATAGCAACAAAGGATTTACATGTTTCAGTGAATCGCTACCAATACAAATCGTATAGGTATGCTCATTTTTCGAAGAATTATAGCTTCTTGCGTATATTGAACAATAATAATTACAATTCAAGGTATGTCGTCTTTCCACGCGTTTCTTCTAGTTATTGTCCTTTATTTACGCTGTTTGTGTCAGGAACGGGACGTCCTGTCGTATTGCGTAACTGGTTTAGCATTTGCAAGTCAGCTGCTTGCTATAATGATATAAGTTGTTGTGTGAATTGTGCGTTAGTAATGGATGTTAAGGTAGAGTATGCAGCTTGCGGTGAGCACGTGCCAGGCGGCAGGCAGGTGTATGCCGGCTGCCACCACACCTGTCACCGCATCAGCTGCTTCTTGCTGAGTTTCTTCTAGCTTATATTGAATAGATATCTTCTACTTTATACAAATTAACAAGTGCTAATTCAATTCTAAACAAGCTAGGCACTTCACAATGACCAGTAAACACTTAAAACATAAATAAAGTTGGAATCTCGACACTGGACACTTTAATATAATCCTACTTCCTAGTAATATTATAAATGAGCAAGTTTGTGAGGTTGTATGGATGTCTGTCATACATCACAATAACACATAGACCAATTTCTATCCCGGAAAAAGATACGGTTTCTGTAAGATAGATTTGTTTTTTCTAGAGGGGACGAGCGAAGCGAGGGTGAGCCGCTAGTGTATTATAAAGTCTACATATTACATGCATATATGTATGTATATTTGGAACTAAAGCGAGACAATTTCAACTGTGTATGTATTAGTAGCACAATAAATTGTCATAAATTGTAAAACACCTATTTGACAGAATATCGCTCATAGTAACAACATTAGTGTACTCGTATGTCACATGTTTGTGTTGATTTGATAAACATATAGGTATTAGGTACGTACGAGTAGCAGCTACTTTCATACATATTAAATACAAATTTTATTCCTGAAGTCTACTAAGATTATATCACATAAAACTCTTTTGTATAAAATTTTAGAATTTAGACAAAAGATATATTAGGTGTACATATATTATACCATAATTACAGTTCATATACCTAAACCAAAGCTTTAAAATTCATTTATTTAGTTCCACGTAGAAACTAACTGGTGTCAAAGAGCTGAAAAGATGTTTTTGTGTTGTTTTCGCAAACGGCTTGTTTTATGGAGACCGGTTATTTAAGCCGCCCTCGACGCGTGCCGTGTTCGTTTTATGTGGTAGTGCAATTAACTTACAGATGCAATGGCACTGACCTTGCACCATTTACCTTATAAAAAAATTATTTTAGCTTTACTAACTACTATCACACTAGCGTCTCGCCCTAGCTTTGCACGGGTTCGTCCCTAGGCGATTTTAACAGTTTAACGACGTATAGATGGACTATATATTATTATATGTATACATAGGTATGATATGTAGATGAGTTTTATATCTCTTACTTGAGAAATGATTGATTCCCCATACAAACATCATCATCCCCCTTTTCAATCCCTTAAATTTTTATCCCGGAAATGATTTCCGGAAACTACCCTATGTCCTACTCATGGTCTCAAGCTATCTTCATAACAAAATTTATCGAAATCGGTTCAGTAAGTAGTTCCATAGATTACTTCCTACAAACTTACGAACTTTATTTATATTTATAGCATAAGTGTAGGTTTAGCCGAGTTTTAATTACTTTTGTGTCGCACTAAATACATTTATAATAAAGAACTATGACAATTGTATATATATAACAAAGAAAATACTTCAATTAGTACAAGTGTTTGTTTATTTAGAGTAAAATATTTATAATATCCATTTCTTTTAAATGAAATTCTTAGAGACCGTTTGTAGATTACATCACGACGTTGTTTTTAATATCATGTGAGTTTGTGGGAACGGTTCCATGACTTGCGCATGGTAACAGAATAGCGGGCCTAACCGGATTCTTCGACAATTTAGACATAGATATGTCGGTTCAAGGTGTATTCTATGTAAATAAGTATAAAGTATCGTAGACTGCTTCGAACTGCGCATTAGCCGCGGTCCTCGACCCTAGCCAAAGAGTGCATCTAAGTTAAGCAAGATGCGCGGGCGGGGCGTACCACTTTCCCCCTGTCCCCTCACAGTGTGCGCCGCGTCACGTACGCACGGGCCCTTCATCTACAGGATCGTGACAGTAAAGGGCAGCGCGCGCAACGCTCTACCTCTATCGAATTGTCGGCTGGGGAGTAAGCGTTATTAGCTATGCCAACTCCCCCCCCATACCATCTTAGCCCTTTACCCCGCTTTAGGAGCATTGCATCCCGACGCGAGGCCCTCCCCCCTGTGTAGGAGTGTAGGGTGAGTTTTCTGTGCTATGCTGCCGCACTTCCGCAAGGCCTAAGTCATTATGTTTTGAAATAGAAATAGGTCAGATCATTTAAAATACAAAACAGGATCGTGTCGCGATGATGGTCTCCGGTCGTCGACACTAACGGATCACTATTTATACCTGCGTTAGTGCACCGGAACTCGCTCGCTGCACTCGATGCAAACGTCTCTTCTCTGTCAATGACCCCCTGAGCATTTAAATCATTGTTTCCTCGATCTAATATTATACTTTGTTTTAAATTTATTTTTTATACGAACTCCAATAAAAGTATTTAGTTAGTAAATATGTTTAATAGTTTTCTTCTTCCATATTTATTGATATAAGCGACATACCTATTTGCTTGAGGCTACCAAAGATTCATGCAGCAATAACACCAAGATTTTATTAGTGCCCTTGGTTTTTGTATTGCGTCAACCGCCTACATGACGTATAGGGCCGTCACCACGTACCTAAAACTGTGAACTGTGTCAAGCAGCTGTCCTAGTTTTTATGTTATCTATAAAAGCTCTTGTTTACATGCGATGAAGATGTGCCAGACTTTGTTTATAAATTATAATTAAGCAATTCATATGTAAATGCCGCGTTATACTAAAAATATTTTTATTTATGTACCTATTTCATAACTGTCACTTGTTATTATTAGATATGCAGTTGAGGATTTTGTACAAGCTTAATACACCATTTTTCTGTGATCTTAGTGTTCATTTTTTTTAAATAAACTTAAAAACATCCATCTCACGATGGCTTTTAAAGTCCATGAAAATGATCTGGCAATAATGCATATTGGTCTTTGACTATATTCTGTACAACGTAAGGAAAAATTTTGCCAAATTTACTTTAACGTATTTAAATACATTTGGTTTTTCATTTTTATGATCTTTTAGTCAGGTCATGGTCAGCTAGCTAGCTACCTGTAAAATGGTTTTGCTTTCAAGTTAGTAAGTTTCCTATACGTTCAAAAACGCATGGTATAGATATTATTAATGTCCACAATGTCAGATTTATATAACCTATGATATAACCTAGCTCTGGGTTCTAGCTGTATTATATAAATGAAAAAAAAAGCAATTTAAAATCTTAGCAAGAAAATAAAAAAGGGACCAATATTAGATTAGAATAATTTGTTAAATCAATTAATACTTATACATATCATGTGCGACAAATCTAAATATTATATCACAGCTGACAATGTTGCGATATTACGAGAAGCAAAAACGTTGGTGGGCAAAAGCTATCGGCGAGCGATGGCCGCCGAGGAATTTCCGCGAAAAAAGCTACACGTCACACGCGTCACCGACTCGACGTCACAGCGCAAGGCCGCGTTCACTATGCTGTAACTTATTTTTTTTAATTGTTAAACTAGACTAGAAAATACAGATATAATAAATACATATATTTTTTTAACATAAATTAATTACACATATTAAAAAACAATTATAAGTAAAAAAGTAATTGAATTGTGATTTTTGTGTAACATTTTCATGGATGATAATTTTATTCTAATAAAATAACAAATAAAATTATAGCTTAACACATTACTAATAGAATCACCACGTATTTTACCTTTGTAAACGAGGATATAAACTAATGTGTATGATTATGTATTTGCCTCTAAATAGGCTTTTCCCAAAGGATCGGGGAATTTATCAATTTTACGTTAATTAATGAATCACGCCATCACCTATTCTCGTTTTCCTGCATGCGTAACTATTTGCAATGGCCAATGACTCACTATAGTCATGGCATGTAACGGATTCTACGTAATCCACATTCTTTTAGTGAGTACGACCACGGGATTTCTCACGGATGTAGAACTGTACTGATGTCGTTTCCATAATCTACAATAGGTATTAGAAAGCGGACGGTGACCGCAAAAACGGCGCAGTAGAAGGGCTCCATTCTATGTTGGAAACTTGCGACATAGCGTTACGTCATTGTTTAACATCTACTTCTCTGCCTCCCATAGCCCTTCTAAAATGCCCAGTATGTTTGGAAGCTAAGTTTTGTACACACGTATGCGCTAGTACCCTGACATTGTCAGACGTAAAATCTATGACGTTGATGGCTTTAAAATTTCTCACAAAGGGTTGAACCCTTCTAAATTGCAATATTAGGGATGGGGCAGAGTTTTAATTTTACTGAATAAAATGAGTATTGGACTTGTTACGACACTTGTGTGTTGTGAATTGTTGGGGAACTTCTCAAGGGCACTCCGACGTTTGTAATGTAATAATAGTACAGAATGTTCAGCTTTTTTGTTATAGAAGGGGAACTTCATTTTGCATAATCCTATGCGTGTTCTGGTAAACATTTAGAAGCTTTTAAATTAAATTTTATTACTTATTAATTCATTTCATTCTTATATTCTCTGGGATATATTATATAACTTATGTTAAAATTTACATGTTACTTAAAATAATTGAAGAACTCGATTTATTCCATATTCTTTATTGACGTCATGGATTACTGACGTTTGTTTATTATCTGGTTAATGTTAAACAGGAATAAAGAAAGAAAGAATATTTAATTGTGTGAATAATCTTATAAAATAAATATATTTGATGCAAGCGACTTACCCTCGATTCGCTCGGGTTCGTCCCTAGGTTGATTCCCCATACAAGCTTTCAGCCCCATTTTCACCCCCTTAAGGGATGATTTCAGGGATAAAATGTCTCAAACTATCTTCTTACCAAATTTCATCTAAATCGATTTAGTAGATCCAGAGATTACCCCCTACAACGTCACAAGCTCACAAACTCACAAACCATACCTCTTTATACTCTTAATATTAGTATAGATAATGTCTTGTAGGTATATACCTACAATATATTTATAACAGTACAAAATGCAATAGCGATGAACAGATTACTTCCTCATTACACGGCCTCGAGTATTTATGCCTTGTATCTTGTATGAATATTATGTTTTATTGTTTTACAACAGTTCTCTCTAATCGTTTTGTTCGAAATACAAAATTCTATTTAGATCAAAATGATTAATAGGTCCCGATGATGGTGTGTATCGATATGTTATTTTATTTTCTTAGTAAAATATCTGCAATAAGAAAGTGTTTATTTTTTAACCGTCAGATATACAGGTTGGGAAGCGTAATTTTACTATAACCTTTATATTAGCATGTGGTTTTTATTAAATAACTAGCGACTCGCTCTTGCTCCGCTTGGGTTCATCCCTACTTACGTTTTAACGTTTAGTATACATTTCTCAGAGATAAGATATTTTCCCGACGTGAAAAGTATCTTATATGTTGACCCGGACAACCAGCTATCATCATACCCTTCATCAAAATCCTTCCAGTGGTTTTTCCGTGATGCACCGCACAGACAGACAGATAAAAATTCTAAAAACCATAGATTCAGCCGTTGTATTCTTCCCGCTGTCTGTCCCTATGTATGCTTAGATCTTTAAAACTACGCAACGGATTTTGATGCGGTTTTTTAATAGATAGAGTGATTCAAGAGGAAGGTTATATGTATAATACATCCATATTATAGTATAGAAAAGTCGAGAAATTCAAAAATTTGTATGTCACACTAATCGTTACAACGTACCTAGGGACAAACCCGAGCGAAGCGAGGCTGAGTCGCTAGTTGGTAATAAATAATAATGTTTATGTCAATAAGATTTTCTAAAAAATATTTTATGTACTGATTCGACTCAGAATATTATTATACATACGTATAGATAAATTTGTATTCAGGGTAATCACCTGTACGTACATCACACGTACGTAATCACGTAGGTACATCTCAATTACACACGATTCGAATGGAGTGTCTTCCTTTTTTGTAGTTGGTTGATTACAATATAGATAGTATTTCAATATTCGTGTCTTTTCAGAAACACGTGAAATATAATTCTTTGGATGATAATAATATATTTATAGCTATTTTACAACAGGTCTAAAGTACCGTAACTATGGCCTCTACGTGCTTGGCTGCAGTTGTCGATGACTTTAAACCGGATAAACGGCTTATTTCTAATATTTTATTACTTTGTTGCTTGCCTGTCATTGAATTCAATTATTATAATCGTATCGGCACATTAGTGCTTGTGAAAGAATATTTACCGTTTTAATCGATGCTTAATTGCAAAAGACTAAATTTTTTTTTTAATACAGAGTTGTTTTCGATCCGTATTTTTAACTCTTCCGTTCATTAAAAATTTTGAATACGCTATACTAATATTATAAAGAGGCAGCGTTTGTTTGTTAGTTAGTTTGTTTGTCTGTTTATTTGTTTGTTCGTTTGAACGCTAATACCAAGAACTACTAATCCGATTTGCAAAAACTTTTTGCATTAGACAACCAGTTTATTGAGGAAGGCTATAGGCTATCATCATGCTACTACCTACTAGAAGTAATATAATATATAGTCATAACCGTTTAAACGTACCTAGGGACAAACCCGAGCGAATCGAGGGTGAGCCGCTACTCGCTAGTATTCTATATAGGTAATCAGAGAGTCATATTCTAAACATTACACACTGGTCGTCGTCATGTACTATATTCTGCTCAAAAGTAGTACTGTGGTCATGATGATAGAAATAGCCGATTTATATAGCAAAATAGACGCAATATTCAACAGCGGCGAGTAGGTGTATTAGTGGTAGTTATCGAATGAGTGGAAGTGGGTCAACTGGTATGACGGCAGCGATAAATGAGCCCTCGCCCGTTCATTATCAATATGTGCAATACGTGTTAGCTAAATAAACTCTAAATTCGATAGCATTGTCTATGTGTTGTTCGGAAATATGTGAATATTTGTAATAAAAGTTTCTCGTATACTGAATGACCAATGCTGGCGTAATGTACCTTTACCTGCTAGAATAACAAAAGCGTGGAGTTACTAAGGCGTTTGACGATGGCAATAACTATATAGATACTAATAAATAATCGACGGAAAATGGAGATCATAATATCGAACTAGATATTTAATTTTAAGTATTATTTTTGGTTTTATAGGATTAGAGAGTAAGGAATACTTTGGAATCTAATCAAATGCTGAATCGACACGTACGACGTATATAATATGGCAGCGTAAATGTTTCTTTGTATAAATGCAGCTGCATTCTGTTGCCGTGGAACCAAGGCCGTGATGCAATGTAGGTAGGTGAATTGTAGGTAGACGTTTTATGTATCGTATGATTGCATCACGATGCACTTCGTCACGACCATTAGACATACAATCTATTATGTATATATATAGATATACCTACTTGAAATATTTCCAAAAAGTATAAATAATAATAGTAAAAGAAGACAAGATAGATATTTAGTTGTACTCGAAGATATTGACCTGTGATTTGGTCGTGACCTGGCCAATCTTAGGCTTTATTCTCTCGTGTTAATGGGGAAGTGGGTTATTATAACAGTTAAGTCACTCTTATTCCCCTTTACAATATTACGGGCGACGACGTTGCCGTGGGAAAGTCTCGAGTGTTCATAATGTAGCCGGGCAGCGGGATCACGTGCTGCGGCACATGGGGCGCACCTAGCGACAGCTGACTTACTTCTGTTATGTAAAGTGAATGCGCCGTGCGATACTATGACGAACAGCGATTGAACTCTATAAATAGCGGTCGATCCGTCCTTGAGCTGCCGCGAGTGCTTAAAACTAGGTCAGCCCGAACTGCCTCATGGCGTTGCCCTACCTCCTCCCCGCCTCGCCCCGCTCCGCACCTTCGCTCCTCACATATCCACACCAATTGCCTGCGATAGAAACTGAATTGCCGCATTCCATATTTCATTATATATCTTCCGCCTTTCTAGTTCTAATGTGGGTATACTTGCTGAAGCTTTGAATTTCGTTTTTCATATTCGATCACATTGTATTCTTTTACTATACGTGCCTACAGACCAGATGTTCATTCATTGTTTAGATGCTGTTATTTTTTTATGTTTATGTTTAGAACTCATTGAAATAGCCATGCACCAAGCTTTACAATATTTTTTTGCATGAATAAATAGGTTCGAATATAAATTCTCGATTCTGTTACCTGTTCGTATTGATAACAGTGCCGAGCAGGTAGTCGGATTATAATGGTCCCGGGTTGTTTTGTTTATTTTTTATTGGTTTGTATTCATAAAAAAGTAGTGCTCTACATTGATCAAACTTCTACGAGTAAATCATAAATTGTATAAATATTTTAATTTTGAAATAACAAGAAACTTAAGAACTTGTTGGTCTTTCATGGTATCGATAGCTAATTGAGGTTATTTAAAATGTAAGATATAAACTCATTTTTAAGCAATTATTTCGTAAACTAAGTAGCTTACTTAATTTTAAACAAAGAAGGCTTATACCCTACGTAACCACGTACTCTGTACTTTTATGAAGCTTACCTAGTACTTTTATCATAGGGCTAAAAAAGTATTCTGACAAAATCATTACATTCAATATCTAATTGATGCAAATGTAATTTTTCGTTGAATATATAAAGTATTTTATATATGAACGAAAAATAAAGATAATTATTACATGTCGCGTGACAGCCAACAATAATGATGGCTCACTCTGAAGAATAATGAATGTGAATGTCGAGTGTATGTATGTATTATGTATGTCGGACCATCACTGCGGGCGACGCAGTGGGTGAAAGCTTTCCTCGGTCCGCCACTACACACGCTTGTGTGCGTAATCGACATTTAATTTTAGTGTTCGGCATCAAAGTGAACACCGGACGCCACCTGTCTCGCTCCTTTGTTTCGGCTCGCAAATGTCGGCGGAGGTCATCTAAATAAAGGCGTTATATACGCGTCCGATTTGGGTTGCGATCGCTGTCTAGACGTTGCGTTGCATCGTCCGATCGATTGCACGAACGAACCTCAGACGGTCATCGACCCCGCGGGCGCATCGGTGACGTTCCGCTCCGGTGATGCGCTGCTCAATAAACTTACGGATGTAACGCTTAACAAACTTTGGTACGCATTCCGAGAGCATCATCATGACTCTTACTAAGAATGATGAATTCGTGATCATGTTACTAACAATGTCGATTTTGAAAGTTCAATAATTTTATTGTTACTATAGAATTCATAATACCTAACGTGTTCAAAAGCTGTAACGCGATCTGCGAAACAAACTGAAGTTTAGAATTCATTGTGGTTATACCATAATAAAAAATGTTTGAGAGCGTTCGCTTCAAGACTCAATGTTTGTTTTAAGTTTTAACAAAAGTTCTCGAAACCTATTATTTTTAGTTACTGCACCTTATTTACGAGCTGTCATTGTACTTTCTAGTATGTAGTTATACGATCGTTGCTTTATCTTACGCCCCTAATGCGTCTACCGACCTTCAAGAACGGTCAAATAAAGTATAAACGACAATGCCCTCGTCATATATACTCTGAAAACAGTACTTTGGAAATAAAAATAACAGTTTTATTGTTATTACTTTATTTTATGGTATTTTTCAAATAAAATTCTTAGGTTGTACACTATATACCTACATTTATTATTTTATGAACACAAATTTTACATATTTTTACTTTGTTACAATACAAGACGTTTATACCATTTATTTAATTTTAATTGTAGATACATTATAAGGGTACGAAAGCGTATCAAATGTTGACTTTCGGTGGTGATGATTTTCCACATTAGGGCGACGAAGGCGCTCCAGATGGCCCTGTACGTCTCGCCGGGTTTCTCCCGCGCGGCAGACGCTCACCTGCGTCTGGCCCTCATGTTCAAAGCCCGCCGGCACTGGGGAGCAGCTGCCGTCCACTTCAGGAGAGCGAGACTAGCTCCACACCAAGATGCGACATTCACACGCTTAGAGCTCAGCTTCCATGCAGCTCATCTCCTCGAGGCACGAGGACTGCGAAAAGCCGCGAGAGATGCATACGAGCGGCTACTAAAAGAACCACAATTATCGTCTACGTTGAAAGCGGATGTCTGCCGACAGCTAGGTAAGAGGACTTTGTCGTTAGTTTATACTAATAAATTATTTTATCTAATTAATTCGAGTAAAATATTATAAATATTTCTATGTTGCGGCTGTATGTAATATGTATCACTTCGACCATTTCTCGTCGTGTGACGTATGTGATATCTGTATATACAAGGCCTTGAAAACAACCACACACAACAACAAATATTCACACATCGCATCAATCCGGCATTAATGTCATGAGGTGACAATTATCGTCTTTTTGTATTGTACATAGCAATGTCTGTACTATGTACAATACAAACTATTTACAAAATTACCGTTGGTAACATTTTTATTGATAAACTTACTTACTTTATAATATGAAATATACATACATATATGGCAGTATCGTTATTCGTATATTTTTTCTTATAATAAGTCCTAGTTGTCTTAACTTATTACTTATTACGCATAGCATTTTCAATAAATAATAAAATAATTTATATGATTTGAAATATTAATCGTAGGATGGTTATACCATCGATGTGCGTCTCTCGGCGAGCCAGCAGCCCGCGCTCGGGCAGCAATCTGGTGCCTTCAACGAGCTGTCGTGGCTGAGCCAGAATCAGGCGCGGGACTTTATCTTCTCGGAAGATGTTTTGCCGCACAGGGAAAAGTACACGATGCGTTCATTGCATATAGAAACTCCGTAGAGAAATCGGAAGGCAATGCTGACACTTGGTGTTCAATTGGGTATGTATTTAATTACTTTTATAAATATATAGTATTTAGTTCTGAATTTAGACAATCGTATTGTTTATGGAAAGATTTTTTAAAATCATAGCAAGCTCATAACAATGCTAAAGATGTCTCAAATGAAGTTTGATTGGATCATCTGTAAATGGTATGCGCCACAATTAATATTTTTTCTTACAGGGTGCTTTACCAGCAGCAGAACCAGCCAATGGACGCGCTACAAGCATACATATGCGCAGTGCAACTAGACAAGGGTCACTCAGCAGCGTGGACGAACTTGGGCAGTTTGTACGAGAGCTGCGCGATGGCGCGTGATGCGTTCGCGTGTTACAACAACGGAGGAGCTCGCGCGACGCTCGCGAGTGCGCCGCTGCGTCAGCGCCTGGCCTTCCTCCGCGCGCACCTCGCGCACGCGCCCATGCCCTCCGTCACCGGCAAGTGAGTGGACTAACAATGGTGTTTGAATTATTTTCAGGATCGTATTACTTAATAATCAATATAAACAATACTGTCTGTTATTCCTTCACGCTGAAAGGGCTCTCTTATAACCTGGAATAACATAAGCTGTTCTTAGCCACCTTACACTATTTTTTCTTTGAATAGTTTTGATCTGACTTTGTTTGGCTAATTATTATTATTAAATCTATTTTTTATTTATTTATTATAAAGTTATTTCAAATGAACTTTTCTGTATTTATAATACAATGGACGGAAATGAAATTAATTAATTTACTACACCTGTTCCTTTTTATAATGACATACATCAAGTGCTACAATCGTTTGTAATAAACAAAGACTTTTAATAGGTACATACGATTCTTGCATATTTAACTGTATGTGCATTTATTCTGCCTACTTGAAGTTTTAAAATTTTAAACTACATACATATTTGTCTATCTATACATACATAATAAAATTGTAACTAAGCCGAATCTGTACATTAAATATATTTTTGGAAAATGTTATTGAAATAGACATTTTTATCGATACAGAGGCTGAATCTATAGTTTCTAGAATTTTTGTCTGTCCGTCTTTCTGTCTGTGGCCGCATCACCACTGGGCAGATTTTGATGAAATTTCATATGACGATAGCTGGTTATCAGGGTCAACATATAGGATACTTTATACTACCGGAAAATATCTTATCTCTGAAAAATCTATACTAAACGTTAAAAAATAATTATAAGTAATAGTTGGAGCACTTATCTATAAGGTAATTAATAAATTCTTTACGTATTTAACTCTTATCTGTTACTTGTTTTAAAAACTGGTTTGGTTCTCAAACATAGCTCTCAAGAGCACCACATTATCTTAGCGGTTTCTTTTAATTGCTTCATTTCCATGCAAATTGTGTGATGAGTAAGTCTTATAAATATAATGAACTCTGTTTTTTTGTCATTTAACTTCCTAGAAATAATTTTAAGACATATTTAAAATTTGATTGATAATTCGAACTTGATGATATAATTTGAAAATCTGTTAATTAGTCTTACTATTTACTATATATATATATATAATGTATATATATATATACTCCCTAACTATATCAGAAATTATATATATATCATAAATTTTTTGGAGGGTAGTTTCAAGTTGAATTTTTTAAACACTACAATATTATAATAATTTAGTTATTGTTATAATTTTTTAGTAATTAGGAAAGCACACATTTATGTACAAAAACCGATGTTTCACAATTTATTTTTCATTAGGCCTATTTTATGTATTTAAAAAGAAATGTCAAAAAAACTTATCGTAATAATATAAAAACAAAATGTGTATTGAAGATTTTCTTTTCTCATGTAATCTATTCATTTCAGGCGACGGCCACTGCCATCTATTGAGGAGGCGTGGAACTTACCTATATCAGCGGAGATGTCGTCCCGCGCGCCCAAAGCCGCGCCTCCCCCCTACCCTGGCGCGGGGGGCACTGGGGGTCCAGGGGGCACGGGGGGTGCAGGGGGCACTGGAGGCCCCGGGGGCGCGGGCTCAGGGGGCGGGGCAGTGGTACCCAAGCGAGATGAACCCGTACCCCTGACCAATCACCAGCTCCAAACGCTGCAATACTTACAGAGGAACTCCCATAACCTATCACCTCAGCAACAAGTACATATGCATACATGATTATAGAAATGTATAAATTAAACAAATATATTGTAAGGATGTTTTAGTTTTGATGTTTTGTAATATGAGAATAAAGAATATTAATCTAGTTTTAAAAGTGTTCATTGGTAATAAAATGTTCGTTAGCGTAAGATTTAACTTAGGTTTTGCCGTGTATTCTGTTAAAACTCAAATTCTGTCTTTTCAGAGGTGTGTTTTTTTTTTTAATATTCATATTAATATAAATTTATTTCAGGCGCTGATGCAACAGCTGCTATCTCAGTACCGTCTCTCTCAAGCGGCGAGAGCGCGTACGGTTTGTATTACCCCATATTAAATAAGGCGGCAGGTTTAGGTTATTTCCCCAAACAAAAAGTAAGCTTAAGCATTATTAACATGTTTTATGAAATATTAATAATAATTCGTTGCAACAGGTGGCCAAAAGCGAAAGTAGCGGCGACAGCGCCGAGTCGCTCGCAGAAGACTTGTTGAAGAAATTCTCAGACTCACAGCCGGATATAAAGAAGGAACCAGTTAGCAGTGAGTATTTGTAAATAATATATGAACACAATGTATTGTTAGGAAATTATGCCAATATTTTCTTAAAGACACATAAAGAGAGTTTTGAAATAACGACAAAAAGGAACACTTGATGGAGGTTTCTGATATTCATTCGTTATAATGTACGTGTTATATTATGGCCTCCCTTCATAACAGGTCATCAGGCCATAGTCCACCACGTTGGCCAAGTGCGGGGCGGACTTCACATGTCTTTCGAAAACTTGCTAAGTTCTTCTAGATATGCAGGTTTCCTCACGATGTTTTCCTTCACCTTAACACAAGTGTTAATCATGCTGAAAATGCTTCGCACATAACAATATCAGAGCGGGAATTGAACCCGCTTCACTTGGTTTGCTAAACGATCGTGTCGCCTGGACTACAACTGCCTTAAAATGTATTAGCCAACAATGACAGTGATAAAATATGAGTATAATTAATCATTAACAGATAACCTACGTTAGTTTAGTTACACCTTTATTATACTGTATTCATTGTAGTAAATAGTATGAAGTAATGATATTCATGTGTGCAGAGCAAACTTTGTACAGTACGATTCAAACCTAATGGCGGCTCTGAACCTCGTAAATTCCGATGCGCAGAACGCAATATCAGAGCTCGGAACCAGTTTAACAAAAAAACGGTTTATTTCGGTAATGTAATGGTTAATACATCGCTCTTTCTTTAACCGGTTAATGAAAACGAACGTTTTAGTAAACCGAAATAATATAAAAATTAACGGTTATTCTTAGAGAAAGGTTGGATTTCGATTTTGATACCAAAATAAACCGGTTTCCATAATAACCATTCATAAGTAAGAAATGTGCACGCATCCTGCTACTAAGCCATTCACCATTAGCAAAAACGCGCCAAATGTAAACACACAAAAACTTATTTTAACGGGTTAATTTTGTTTATGGAACCTAAATTCGACAAAAACCGTTCTCCCGGATTTTACCGGTTAAAGAACGTAACCGAAACCTTAAACCCTTTCGGTTTGGGTTCAATGACCAAAACTGGTTTAAAAATTGAACGGGTTTCCGAGCTCTGCGCAATATTAGGTATCAGCGGGGTGCAGAGGCCCGAGATGCTGCGCGTAACTGCGCTCGCTGCTAATATCCCGGCCGTCATTAAGTTTGCATCGAACTTTACCCCAATTTTTCACAAGCGCATTGTGCGTATGGGGGAGGATTTTATTTTGTGATTTCCAATCGCTTTAGAAAAAAAAAATTATCTATTACGTTTCTCAACATAATTTAAATTTAGTACTTTGGTAAAACATTACTTGCTGTTTTGAACACAAACTTGACAGAAAGGACTTTTGGATTTGCGTAGTACATATTATGTATCAAGACCATGACATTTTTTTTTAATTTGCAATTAAATTGAGAAAAGGCGATAACAGTTTCTTTTTTAAATTTCATATACATTCACTTAGAAAATAAATAATGGTTATATTCTGTGCTAAACTAATGCCTTTTCTAAATTAATTACCGCCTCGCGGATACACGACAGGATATGTCCTTCCTGTTCAACGCCCAAACCAGTTGTAATCGCTCCTACTACAAGTTTAATTATAATTACTTGTAATTGCTAAATGTGAAGTTAACATACAATACACATGTTATAGTTAAAACTCTTTTTTAGTCAATATAATTTCTTTCCAACGAAAAAAGTCAAATTGAGTGTTCGTATCTCTCTAAAAAGTATTTATTGCAAATATTTACTTATTAAAAAAGTTTGAAAACGAAATCGCGACAGAGAGAGAGACTCGCACTTGGCTATTGATTATAATTATTTGTTGCCATACTTATAGATAAGCACTACAATTACGCCAATTTGAATTGTATTATATTTTTTTTACAATATAGCAAAAGAAAGTAAATTTTAGTTTACTTTGCGTTTAACACCAATTACATGCATGCATGTATACATGAGTTTTGTAAAAGATTTAGCGGTCTACCTGTTACGATTCATAAGATAGCCTTTATATTAGTGCAAAAATTGTTCTGGCTAAGTAATAGTGGCCAAGTAATAGAACCGATCCTTTAGGTATGGAAGCATAAGAAACGTTCAACAGCCCGTAACAGGTTAAATCATGCCTGGTATTTGTATTATTTACTTCAAGCTCCTAATAAGAGATAAGTGCCCTTTTTATTAAAATATCTACTTAGTTAAACGTCCGTTTTATTTATTTTATTAGTCTTAATTAACTTTTTGTCAGACTTAATTATATTTGATTTTTTCAAAGTGTATCTTATCTTGTAGATCAAGAAAACCTTGTTTTTATAACATTTTATTAAGTTTTGTAGTTGAAAAGAAGTTTTGGCTAAATATTTCATTTTATAATATTCCATTAAAAATAGAAAGTTGTATGTAACATGTAACTAGACACTGCAAAAACACTAACATGAATAGTTTCACTAAATTTGCCAGTTTTCTAAATTTATTACACATGCGACATATTTTATTAGATTAAAAATGGTGGTGTGATGTGGTCAAATTATTCATATATAAAACTAGAATAGTACGGATTTCGTTTAGATTTTTTGTTTTTTTTTTTTTTTTACGAGTTTCTAATAAAGGTTGCCTGGAAGAGGTCACTTTAAGTTATAAGGCCGCCTTTACACTGAAATATATATTCGTAAAATTGTGTATTCTTTTTAAATTGTATTTTTGTTTTGTTGTAATAAAGGAATAAATAAATGAGCAAAATATATGAGCGGAACCGCAGACAGTAATGTATATATTGATAAAACAGCTGTCATAATTGGGCGGATGTCACCATTTTGCTCGTAAATGTTTGTTTTGGGCCATATGTAGTTTAGTTCCGGTTTTAATTTTGTTTTTCGTTGAATCTGGCAAGTCGTTATTAGTTCTGCCTAAGTTTATTACGCTCAGACTATGGCAATGATTTTAAGAAAATCGAGCTAATTTTGCATACGTTTACCATTATATAGTATACGTGGTACACATTTAATAATTAAATATTGATTTGCTATATTAACTTTTTAGATCTTTTTAACAATGTTACTTACACTCTTTTGTGTCATTTATTATGTCTGTCAATGAATGTTAATTTTGTCAAATATTTGTAGTGACATTGGAAAATGAAATTGAGAATTAAAAGTGTGTATCTCCAATAAATTAAAGCGTAATGGTAGGGGAGCCCAAGAGGGGATTTTGGTAGTTACTCAAGCGCGGCAGATTAACATAAAAGATGTTACCTTGCACTCTATTGAGTACTTTCACCACAATATAAGTCTTCTATATAAAGGGGCGCGTCTAGGGAAGCCGATTAAAATATTTAAAAAATGTTTTGATAAGGTAAAAATACTTGAAACCCTAGCTTCCCTAGACGCGCCCCTTTATATAGAAGACTTATATTGTGGTGAAAGTACTCAATAGAGTGCAAGGTAACCTCTTTTATGTTAATCTGCCGCGCTTGAGTAACTACAGAAAATCACCTCTTGGGCTCCCCTACTATAATATAAGTTTTAAGTCATGTTGTATTCAGTGGTAACATAACAAACATTGCTTCACAGAAAGCCCTCAAAATGGCAGTAGCAGCGAGGCGGTGCTCGGCGGCCGCCAGCCCGTCGTCAAACTCGAGCCGCTCAAAAGCGACCCTCTCAAGCCTGTCTCCTTCCACGTTGCGCTCACCTCTAAGCAGATACTCGACACGTGCAAGTGAGTATACTTTTAAATGACTTAAAAAAAAGGTTATCAATTCAACACATATATACTTAATATTATTGGAATTGCAAAATATTCACATTTATAATCTACTAGCATTGCCCGCGGCTCCGCCCGCAATCAGTTGACCAAAAACCAAATTCTTAGGTTTTACATATTAGTATACTCTTACAATGCAGTTTTCGTATTTTTTCTCAGAATTGAGATATTTTCCCGCGGTAAAAAGTATCCTATATGTTGACCCGGATAAGCAGCTATCATCATACCAAATTTCATCAAAATCTGTCCAGTGGTTTTCTCGTGATGCGGTAACAGACAGACAGACAGATAGACAAAAATTCTAAAAACTATAGATTCGGCCTCTGTATCGATAATAATGTTTATTTCAATAAGATTTTCCAAAAAATATTTAATGTACAGATTCGGCTTAGTTACAATTTTATTATATGTATAGATTAGGGCTTCCAAACAAATATACCCAATTTTGTAGGTGTATGTATGTTTGTCCACACATTTCTCCAAAACTAGTAATTGGATCGTAATTATTATTATTTGCTTACATTTATTTCAATTTAGAATAGTAAAGATTTAATCAAAATCGGTTCTGTAGTTTTTATGATATTGACTATTAAACAATAAACATGTAACGGCCTGACTTATTGACACAAGCTACCAGGAATTTTGTCATAGGGAAAACATCTCAAAATCTTGGTCAAATTTTAGAGGGCATGTAAGAAAATCAAAATGGCGGAATCCAAACTGGCCTTATGATACAAATCCGCGACGAGAACTAAAAATTAAAAAATTCTAAATTTTTACATTTATTTGAAAAATAAAAATAATTACAACTTATTACAAAAACTATTTCAGTTTTACTTATAACTAAAAATTACGAGTTAAAAAAGTAATTTAAAAAAAATTAAACCGACTTCAAAAAAAACTTCCAGGCACGTAAAAAGTTTTAAAATAAGTGAACGGGGAGTTTTTTACTACTATAATAATAATAATATTTTTTAGCGACTTACCCTCGCTTCGCTCGGGTGCATTTGTTCACAATTTCATGGGTTTTAATTTTTTTCCGTGGAACCCTGATTCTTTGTCTAAAATAAAAGTAGCCTAAGTTACTCCTTGTAACATCAGATACCTGCCTGTGAAAGTACCGTCCAAATCGGTGCAGCTGTTTCGGAAATTAGCCGAGACAAACAGACTGAGAGACAAAAAAAAATGTTTTTTTCTTATTAGTACCATATATTCTTTCATATGCATTTAGTAAAAAGCTGTTATTTTGGCATTACAAACAGACACTTCAATTTTATTTCTCTGTTTTATTTTTTTCATTTTGGTGCCAGCAGACAATGCTTTAATGAATATCTAATAGGTAAATATGACAAGGTACGATTACTTTAATTATAGTTTAAATTATACGTTATTTTGTGATGTATTTATACGTCTCGAAATAGATTTGCTTTACATCGGCTGGCACCGACTTCGAAAATATTTGATTAGGTATCTATAGTAAATGTAAATTATTTTTTTTTGATGTCGGATTAATTTTTATTAAGTATATCATGAAATAGATGTATAATCAATGTTTATAAAGATATTAACTGTAACAATGCGTGAACAGAGATAACGCAGGTGCGCCGTCGTCGTGGTCGGTGCTGGGCGACGGCTGCGGGCCGCCCTCGCCGCCGGGTGTGCCGCCGCCGCGCCTCTCCGCCGAGCAGCTGGCGCCGCCCGCGCCCTTCGTCTACGTGGAGTCCAAGCGCGACGCCTTCTCGCCGCAGCTGCAAGACTTCTGCCTCAAGCACCCCATCGCCGTGGTGCGCGGCCTCACCGCCGCGCTCAAGCTCGACCTCGGCCTCTTCTCCACCAAGACGCTGGTGGAGGCGTGGCCCGACCACGCCGTGGAGGTGCGCACGCAGCTCATGCAGTCGGCGGACGAGAACTGGGACCCGAGCGGGCGGCGCCGCGTGTGGGCGTGCGCGTCGCATCGCTCGCACACCACCGTGCGCAAGTACGCGCAGTACCAGGCCGGCTCCTTCCAGGAGTCGCTGCGCGAGGAGCGCGAGCGCGGCGCCGCGCCGCCGCACGCCGGCGCGCTGTCCGACAGCGACGGCCGCGAGTCCGCCTGCGGGCCCGCCAAGCGCCGCCGCGCCGCGCGCATGCTGCGCTTCGGCACCAACGTCGACCTCTCCGACGAGCGCAAGTGGCGCCCGCAGCTCACCGAGCTGCAGAAGCTGCCCGCCTTCGCGCGCGTCGCTTCCGCTGCCAACATGCTCTCGCACGTCGGACACGTCATCCTCGGCATGAACACCGTCCAGCTCTACATGAAGGTGCCCGGCAGCCGCACGCCCGGTCACCAGGAAAACAACAACTTCTGCTCCATCAACATCAACATCGGCCCCGGCGACTGCGAGTGGTTCGGCGTGCCGGACTCGTACTGGGGCGGCGTGCGGGAGCTGTGCGACCGCCACGGGCTGTCGTACCTGCACGGCTCGTGGTGGCCGGACCCGGACGAGCTGCGCGCGCACGGCGTGCCCGTGTACCGCTTCACGCAGCGCCCCGGCGACCTGGTGTGGGTGAACGCGGGCTGCGTGCACTGGGTGCAGGCCACCGGCTGGTGCAACAACATCGCATGGAACGTGGGCCCGCTCACCGCGCGCCAGTACTCGCTCGCGCTCGAGCGCTACGAGTGGAACAAGGTGCAGAACTTCAAGTCGATAGTGCCGATGGTGCACCTGACGTGGAACCTGGCGCGCAACATCCGCGTGTCGGACCCGCGGCTGCACCGCGCCATGCGCACGTGCCTGCTGCAGACGCTGCGCGCGGCGGCCGGCACGCTGCAGGCGGTGCGCGCGCGCGGCGTGCCCGTGCGCTTCCACGGGCGCGCGCGCGGCGAGGCGTCGCACTACTGCGGCGCGTGCGAGCGCGAGGTGTGGCACGCGCTGCTGGTGCGCGAGCACGAGCGCCGCCACGTGGTGCACTGCCTGGCGTGCGCGCGCCGCGCCAGCGCCGCGCTGCAGGGCTTCCTCTGCCTCGAGGAGCACCACATGGAGGAGCTGTGCCAGGTGTACGACGCCTTCACGCTGCACCGCCCCGCGCCGCCGCTGCACGCGCCGCCGCACACGCCCGCGCCCGCCACCGCCGCCACCACGCCCGACTGAGCGATGAGTGATGATGAGCGTGGAGTTGATGTACCTGTTTTGTTTTGTGTGAGAGTGGTGTCATTTCTGTTTATTGTAATGCTTATTTTAATTTATCGAGATTTTCAGTCGCCCTATAGTCGTCTGTGAGTGTTGATGGTCTTCGGTCGACGTTATTGTCGACCCGTACTTATGTTTTAGTAAAATTAGTCGCAAGCTAGATTTCTGTAAATTTACACGAGTGGATGTCGTTTTTGACCAACTGTAAAAATTAATGTAAGCGATCACTAGGAGAATAGCGATCTATTTTTAATACACGGCTCGTGAGTATAAAGACGTAGTACGAAACGAATATTTTCGTGATGAACATAATTTTGTAAATCGATAAATTTACAATTTACAAACTCCTCGATCACTTTTGTAATTGTGAGAGATAATGATATAAAGTTATGTCAATTTTGCGGCGACGATGAGCCGCCACTAGCGAAGTGTCTGGTAGCGAGGCGAGACGCGGCGCGGCGCGTAGGTAGTAGGGGCCGCGCCCGAGCGAGGGTTCACAGGTAAATGTGTTATTTTTGTATAGAAGTATATTTATTTATTTTGTCATCCTGATTTAGTTTTTCAATTCCTAGTATAATCATCGTAGCGAATAGTAGTTCGTAAGTGAGGCACGGGGGGAGGCTCTGCGTTTTAGGAGGGTCCGGAGACAGTGCTGCTATGTCCCAAAGAGCGTTATATTCGTGTAGGCGCGCCGTCTGGAAGTGGACGAATTTATTATTCGCACTAGTTAATTGCATTTTTAGTCTGCCACGATTGGGAAGTGATTGTAAAATTTATTTATTCGAATAAATGTTTGATAAATGAAATCGTTTCGTTGTATTAACAAAATTAGACATAATTATTGTTTGGCTCGGAGTAAGTTAGGAAATGTTTGGCAGAGGTCGGCAGTGGTGGCGCCCTCTGGCGAGCTCGTTGGTTTCTCTCGGAGTTTATTGTACGTTGTGCGTCGCGGCGGGGTGGGCTTGTATAGTGAATACTGATATATTGTAAGTAATGTAACATCACTGCCATTTACGACCTTACTGTTTATACTGTAATATTAAATTTTTATTAAACTTATAAAATATGGTCACTACGATTTTTATTTCTTTCCCTAATAGAACATTTGTACTTTTTGAATAGATATCTGACGTTTTAACGTATGTGTACGTTGTAACGTTAAAATTTTATGTTTTAACTTTTTTTTAAACTCGTATTGATATTATATTTTATTTCTTAGATATCTGTACATACTTCATTTTTTATCTAGGGATTCTTCTTAATCTTAAAAGAATGGACCGACTGCATCGATCAAAAAAGTACTAGATACACAATCCCATGAAAAGGTTCTCTTAAAACTGTCAATAATTGTGTTTAGGTAAATATTCTTCTTTTTTTTTCTATAATGGCATAGAGCCTTAATACATTCTGCCAGTGTCACGTGTTGTAAGCAGTGAGGAAGACACGAATGAGATTGAGGGGTAATTTTGGTGAAAATTATTCTAGTTGAAATAAATATACAGCAATGTAAATTGAATCTTAAATACAATGCTTAAAGTTGTTTTCACAAAAATAAACTAAAATCGCGCTCAAATGTTCAAATGAGCGCTCATTGGGTGACGGCATTTTTTGTCTCTGTAGTACTTTTTTGAGCGATGACTGAGCGTGTGGAAATATCCAACTAGGTACACAGTAGCATGGGTTAATCTCCTGATGATTCTTTTCAACTTGTTATTGCTTCAATATGTGTAAAATATTAACAAAAGACAAAATATCCACAAAAGGTATAAATTTTGTTTTAAATAATTTGTAGTGAAGAAAAACAAAATATGTAATGCAAATTACGTAACGTAAATTTATTGAATGATATCAATTATTGAAAAATCTGCAATGAGGCTTGTGGTTGTAGACCTATTGTCTATTTGCAAACATATATATAGCCCGAATTAGGGCTATCTAATTTATTTGTATGGGATGGGGCTTTTGTACTATCATAGTGTTGTATCATCTGATATTTATTCGTCTGTGCTATTTTGCATAAAGTTTAAAAAATAACAAATATTATTTTGATATTCTTACTCCACGTGGGTTCACTTGTGAGAGAAAAATACTTCAAACAAATGCTAATAGATGGCGTGTTCGTGCATCGCAGCGACAGATCTTCGCAGCAGTTTCGACGTAATTAACGTACAAATACGTACGTCCAAACTTTCACATTAAAATAGTAGTTCTATTCATAACAATCCAATAGATCCTGATAATCTATATTCTAATTCAAAAAGTTTTTAAGCAAAACAATGCGGTCCAATACATAATTGTATCTAATTCAAAAAGTTTTTAAGCAAAACAATGACCGCGTTTTGATTTAGTATTAGCATGGGGTCTCATCACGATCAAAGAAAAAATAGTTTAAATAAATGTCAATAGATGTATAATTACATGTATCGATTTGTTATTAAAGTTGTGTTAAATTAACAAACAATAAAAAATAGATCCCAACATATAAGCAATATATATATGCAGCAACAGAAATATTAGCAATCAGATGATAGGTTTGTAGTGTATGTTCACAGATGGCGCTTTTAATTTTATGAATTGCATATCACGGTTAATAATTGTTAAAATCATTTTTTTTCATTCGAATGCAAAATGAATTTTATCAATATTTATTATACGTTAATTTGCACATATTTATAAAATAAAACAGTTTGACTATCTGCGAATCAACGAGATCTATTATCTATTCGAGCAAACAAAAATAGCTCGAATTACCACTGCCCAGCTTCTTTGTATGGGATGAGGCATCTACACTAGGATAGTAAGTATTATGTGATCTGTAGTATTAGTTATCATCCGGGTCCCCGGAATAAATATTTGGTGGAACCAGTCATTATCTCTTAAAGTTATTTTGCATTTTCCTTCACAGATTTTGATACACAGTACATACAAACATAAATCTATCGACTACTTAAGCCAATGAAAACACCCTGGACAGTCTAATTTCTTTAGCATATCTGGGGCACCTCTACTAGTATTCTATTCTATTATCTGTGCTAAAACGCATGTTAATTTTTTTATTATTTAGCAGTAAAAAAATAAGAGAAAAATTTTATTTATACATTTATTTCTATAATCACAATTATTATTTCATAAAAATAACATCATTAGACTATAATTTTAAGAATGTTTAACGATATTGTGAATAATAATTAAGGTTTATAAATTATTTCGACCATCATTTAATCAGTTAATGTTCAAACATTCATTTAAATTGACATCCAAAGAAATATATCTTAATGTAACTATGTATTTAGTCTTAAAGCACAGGAAATGACACAAAATATTAGGCGAATTTAACTTCTTTCCCACCTGCAGCAGCAGTTATAATAAGAATCGATTTCGAGACCTTACTATGTATTTGAGAGTCGATTCCATTCAGCTAGAGTAAGCAAAATCGAAATTTCTAGAATTCAATAAGGAAAAGTAAGAAAACATACAATTTGTCTGATACGAATATAATTAACACAAAACGATTCTTTATAAAATAGGCATCAATAACGCCCGATGTCTTTGATTCTTAATTGTTTGTATCAAATTCAGCTATTTCGATTATGCTCCTTACCTTCCTCGGTACAAAACGTTTACAAACAGTTAAAAAAGTAAATATACTTTCCTGATGACATATTTTCATTCATTAACATATTTAAGTAAGCTTTATAGCACCTATTGTTGTATATATCTTATTACATTATAATATAACACAGTTATTGACTACTTTATACAATAAAAAAAAAAACAAAATATGATGTTTACATAATATCTATTTCCCGTGTCACTTACGTTGTGTGATAGTTGAAATATTCACATTCTTTAGGTTCGTCAGACGTCAATTGTTCTACGTTTAGATTCATTTCATTTGAATTATTTTAATTACTTATTTTACTTGTATACAAACGAAATAAAAACAAATGTATATACAACTTCCTACAACATACTTGAAGTCGTCGTATGATCGAATTCCATATTTTTTTATAGAACAGCTCTAAACTAGGGGTCGGTAAAAAGCGAGTCTTATTTAGTGCACTACTATAATGATAAGTGACACTTTACTTATTATGTAAATATCATAAATAATGCTAAAGCAGAGAGCTAATATAAAACTACAGAGATAATATAAATGAATAAACAAATGCAGATCGTATCGTAAAAAATTTATATAAAAATTAGTTCTTCAAACTCAATACATTTTGGTAGTACATTGCACGTAATATAATTCATTGTCTAAATTACCTAAAGACGTCTTCACACTTAACGTACATTTTGTCGAAGACTAGTATTCAACTAACGCATCCATGCGTAATCACCGTCTTTTATTATAGGAAGGTCCTTTGCTCAGAAATATTATTTTAAGAAGCAATAGGTGAATACAATATAATATGAAATATGTAGAAAAAAACATTCGCCATTAATATACAAATACAATACAAAATAGAAATGCGATACATTTAATAATAAAAAATGGAATATAATGTTATAATTACGTATATACGATTATTAATTAATAAAATTTATAAAAATAGGCCAAACTTTTTCAGTCATAATTTTTATTTTATTTTTTTCTACCGACTTCCTCCGATGCCGTCGTGTGCTAAGCATTTGTGCTATGTCAATTCCATCGCTTACATTAATAGGAATAGTAATATTTAAATTTCAATATAAGAATCAATCTTAACAAAATAATAGACAAGCAAATATCTACAATAAAGCGATTAATATTTTTTTTTATAATATAAAAATGCATAAATAACATATTATATGACGATAATCGTCAGACACTACCTACTACGCCCAGGCTTTGGGTTTGACTCTCATTCTGATAAAGGCAAATTCTATTCATTGGTTCACTCAGAGCCAGGGACAATACATAGTGAAGAAAAAGAAACAATTTTAAGAAGGGACTGTTAAAACCATTGCAAGAAATTCCAGAACTTCCATTACGTCATATTTCTTACGATCACATTTTATCTATTATTTGTAATTAAAATAATATTTTTTTAGAATAAAATAAATAAATTGTCAAAATATTATAAATTTAGACATCACTAAGCAAAATGTGCTACCAAACAGTGTTTAGCACTGCACTAGCGGAACGCGGAGTGTTCTCAAACGTGAAGATTTATAGTCTAATCCCATAAGAAAAATGCATGTTATGTAATATATCCTCATACCGATTACGGCCACGGTGGCCAATCTCACTGAGATTACGCAGGAGATATTATAGAGTAAAAGTATACGTGCAGACACAAGTGCACTATATATTCCTTTTACTCTCAAAGTCCGATGAGACGATATTTTGACACGACTGGTGGGAGTTAAGGCGCGCAGGACTGCCGACTGACGAGGCACGTGCTCTCCCAGGCATGGGGGTGAAATACTGCCAACTTCACAACTCCGACTCAATTACTGAGAATATCTAGGCCCTATAAATACCTGGGCCCTAAACCCAGGACTTACAGATCATTCATGCTAGCTACAAAACCAACGAGGCAGTAAAAGAGTGAATAAAGACAATATGTACAAAAAAGCACACCTCATTCAAAAGCTGAATCTGATCGCGAGCCTAATGAAAATACGATACTAACATCTAATTATAACTTGAAATTCTAGCTTCTAGTAAATTTACCTAGAATAATTTTAGAACACGTGAATAAAATAGATTCAAATTTCAATAAACTTGACTAGTTTGTGCTCGAGCTCATCTAACGTGGCTTAACGATATAACATACAGAATTTAACACAAATAGTACATACTTAGATAATATGAACTTTCTAAAGGCACATCTACAGATCATAAATTGAAAGGAAATTCAATTCACTAAGTTTAAAGTGACCGTTTAATTTTTTAGGGTTCCGGACCCAAAAGGTAAAACGGGAACGCTGTATGCCCTTGGCTTACAAATTAGGTTATAAAAATTGTCACGAGTACTTACTAGGGTATCATAAACATCAAGCAATTTACACTGTACATGTTGATGTTCATCTAAGAAAGGCCTGCATCTTAATATTTATGACCGCCTGCCCTAAATATTTATTGCTTTCTATGAGGCTTTTGTAGCTGATGAGATCCTATGGGAGTTTTTTCATAGGGTGGTACTCGTGATGACGTCACATGAGGTGCTGTTAGTAAACAATAAAGTGTCGTGATGGTCAAAATATTACAGTTATTTCCATCTAGCTCTCATTCGCCAAGTCTGCCGATTATAATGTGCGATAAGCAACTTGGTTTAAATCACAAGCATACTCCCTATTATGATTGTAAAGGCCATTCGCAGCAAAATTCTTTAATCGATTTTAATTTCTTAAATACGTGTAGCAAACACTATAATTAGACGTCTGATAAACATATTTAAGAACTTAAAATGAGAATTTGGTCATAAAAATTGACTCTAAAAGATAAGTTTGCTATTAAAATACAACGATGAGGCTAAGACTATTAGTATCAACGTATATAAACTAATGAATTAGTTTTAAATTTTCCATGTAGTATGTACATGATATGATCATTTTTAGAATTTATAATGGTTATTTTTAAAAATGTCGATGTTTACTTTTAATGAATTTTTATATTTCCATGTATGTTGTTTGAAAATTCTTCTGTCATAACAAAGAAGGCCCTAACTAACAATTTAATCAAAAATGACTTAAATGCAGATTCAGAATCAAAAAATGTTACTTGATAATCTCACTTATAAAGCTCTAAGTCTTATGAATCCGGACATACTTTAACCATTTCCATCGTAACTACGTCAAAACTACTACTAAGACAAAACTTCAAATATCTTGAAATCAACTTAGACGAAGTTGCGTCCTTCTTTTTTATGACGGCAGAATCATAGAAAGAACAATTTGTACCACTTTGTTCAACTACAAGTATATATTGCCTCTTAATGATATCTTATTTATAAGCTTATCATAAACGTGGTAAAATATATAATCAATGCACAGGTATTTATTGCTATTATAATATTATTGCTGTCAATATTTTATTTGTACTAAAGTACAAAAGAAATAAAAAAATGTTTACATATATTTATATTTTTAGTGTATTATTAGTAGATTCAAATCTAACTCATCTCATCAAAAAAAAAAATAGGAATTACTAACTTCTTACTTTCATAGTGAATAGTTAGACCTAAGTGCACACAGTGTAGGGAAGACGAATGGCAGTAATTGTAAATTCCATAGCTTAGTAACTAATATGAAAAAAGTACATAAACATGGTAAATATAGGTTTTGTCTTTTTAAACATAGCAAATATACCACACACAAGCATAAATACACAACCTTTATATATCCAGTAGATGGAGGTTGTATATATCGATATAATTTTGCTGAACGATAATATAACACTCCGGGGTTGTAGTTGGGGGTTCGCTAGGTGAATATGTATCTCGGTTTTGGTTCTCCCCTGTTGGTAGGGCGGGAGGGACGCGGCTGGGGGCGTGGGGGGTCTCTGCCGGGAGGTCGGGGGGTGCGCGCGGGTGGGTCTGTGCCGGGTGGTGGGGGGTCTCGGGGGGTCGAGCCTCAGGAACGCGGCACGGGGCGGCGCAGCAGCAGCGCGGAGTCGGCGGAGACGATGGGCAGCTCGTTGCTGCAGTGGTACTTGATGAGGTGCGGCACACTTTCGAAAACACGGTCTTTCGTTCGCACCTGACAACAAGTAATTTTGAACTGAACAAAATGAACATGTATATTACGCCGAGATTACCATCACTTAATTTATGTAGGTTATACTTTTATTATATTTTCTATGTAACAAAAAAATTGTATCGTGTTCATGTCAAGAGCAATATTATGGTTACATAATTTTATTTTAAATTTAAGAAATGTGGTATTCATCACACTCATACTCTGCCTATATCTAACCTTAAGTTAAATGATCAGGACAGTGTATGACCTCAGGAACGATCGATATAACGATACATTTTACTTATTCTTATAATTTACTAATAAGTACTAATAAGTTTTTTTTAAAATTATTGTCTGTCTGTTTCTTTGTTCCGACTAATCTCCGAAACGGATCGATTTGGCGGGACTTTCACTGGCAAATAGCTGATGTACTTAGAGAAGTAACTTAGGCTACTTCAGGAATTCGCGCAAAAAAATAAAACCCCATGAAATTGTGAATAAAAACCCTCATACGAGCGAGGGTAAGTCGCTAGTATAATTCTAAAATAGAAAATATATGAACTGACCACTCCATTAGGATCGACGAGCAGCAGGTGCTTGTGCGCGCCGCGCCGCGCGCCCGTGAGCACGAACTGGCCGGGGCACGCCGTGGACTGCCGCACCAGGAACTCGCCGTCCTCCGTCACCAGCTGGGCGGTGGGGAGAACATATTCTTCTTAATACGCTTTTATTATCTACAGTCTACACTATATTTATTATACTTTTAGGGTTATGTACCCGAAGGGTGCCAACGGGACCCTATTACTAAGCCTCCGCTGTCCGTCCGTCCGTTTGTCAACGGGCTGCATTTCAGAGGTAGATAGTTAAAATTTTTAGTGTGTATTTTCTATTCGCATAAAAAGCCAAGATGCAGAATTTCATAATGGCCGCCATGCAAATTATAAAAAAGTCGATTCGTACATAATATTATTATATCTTGTACGATGGTGCGAAAACTTGGTACGAATCCGATTTGCACTTGGCCTATTTTTTTATTTTTTATTAATATTTGACAGTCACGTGCACGTCACCTGCATTCCTCCTGCTCGATTACAAATTACAGCTTTGTCTAGACGCCTTGATTAAATGACTGTTTGAATTAATAGACTGTGGTATAGGTAGTAATAATAATATAATTATTATTTATGATGCTACTGCTAGGTTTGAACTGTTCTTGGTCTATCTAGCGCTAGCATTTACATCCGGATATTCGTAGGTGTTGGGTTCGAGACCTAAGATTAATAAGTTTAATTACTGAGTTTTTGTGTAGGTAGTGTGTGTATCTCAGTAGCAGCCCGGAGTTGAAAGGTTGGCGGTGTGTCACCCCTGTGAATCGTAGAGCACGCAAAGCATTAGATCCTGCGTCATAACATAAAAAATATCGAGAGTGCTCGTTGTGTCTGCGCGTACACTTGTGCACTATAATCTTCTACACAGTTGGCCATTCATGAGGACATCAGGTGTATATAGAGCAACTGTTGAGTTTCTCGCCGGCTCTTCTCAACAGAACTGCCTTCCGAGCCGGTGGTAGATTCCTCACGGACTGACTACACTGACATTTAATTTAAATTTAAAATGTAAAATTGCCGATTCAAAAGTGCATGTAAAAGTCTATTTGAATAAAATATATTTTGATTTGATATAGTTTACCCGTTCCGCGGCACTGCGCGAGATGGCGCCGTGGTACCAGGGCTCGCGCGCCAGCAGCGCCGCCTGCGCCGCGGCCGGCAGCGCCGCCGGCTCCTCCGACGGCGACGACGCGCCCGCGCACTCCGGCGACGTGAACGGCTCTGCAATACCAAATAATATATAAGTAACTCTATCTGTCTGTCTGTTCTGTTACCTTTTCACGCCTTATCCGCTGGATCGATTTAAACGGGTGTGGAGTCTATGTATTCCATACTAACCGTCATAATGCACAAGGTACCCAGGGATGGACACGAGCGAAGTGAGGGTGAGTCGCTAGTAGTAAATAAAATTTTAAAGAGCAACTGTTGTGTGGTAGACTGTAATTAAGGTATCTAAACGAAATCCACTTGCTTGATTTTTCCTTTGTTTTTTTTTGTGCTTGTAACCTCTCTTAACGCTATCCGACGACTGGTACAGAATGAACAGAATCCCGTGTTTTTATTTCTAGTTAACAATTTTATTAGATATGCTACTGTGCGTCTAACAATTGGTTATTACAATAAAGGGGCGCGACTTAAGTCTAGACCGCGCAAAGGCTCTCCTCAGAATTCCCTTCCGAACCGGTGGTAAATTCCTCATGGACTTACATACTGACATTTAATTTTAATTAAAAAACTGCAGAAACTGTTTGTAAAAATCTATTTGAATAAATTATAATTTCAACGTGAAACAGATTGTTTACGAATATAAAAACGTTTCGCATTTATAACAGTACTATGATAAGAATGAATGATAAACTCACGCATGTCGAATATGTCGGTGTTGTGTGTGGGCAGCAGCGCGGTGGGCGGCGTGCGCGGCGGCGGCGTCTGGTTCACGTAGTGCCGCACGCTCTCCTCGCATCTGTGTATTGAATTTTATTAACTTTTAGAGAGAGTTGTAATGTGGGAACAAAATTTAAACTGTTTTGCTCCAACGTCCGTTTATTACCTCCAGTGCCGTATTCAACCTTAGCGCCGCCCCTGGGCAATGTAAGAAATGCCGCCTCATTAACGAAATTTTGTATAAAATGGATAAAATTTCGAAAAAGTGCCTTTTTTTTAATTTTTGATAAATGTAAGAAATAGTTAATTTTATTTTATTCATTTTTTGGAAAATAAAAAAAAACATTTTCGATACCGCGAAGATTTTTTTATTTATCCTTCGAACTTAGCCACCCCTGAAAATTTGCCGCCTTGGGCACTAGGCCCAAGTGCCCTTATGTAAATCCAGCGAATTTAGAAAAAATACTCCTCTCATTATAGTCTCATTTAAGTCGTACGTATTAATGTAAGCGTCGTAAGCCAGGGAGGCTTACATGAATTCTGTAGTGTGTATGTAACACAATACAGAATCTATTTGATCCTTTTATCAAATGTTGCACCCATCTCACTGTACAGAAAACCTTATTACCAGCCCGCTACTATGATAAAATCAAAATAATTACAGGGTTTAATATTATACTTTTTTGTCACGAAGTACTCGGTAACATTCTAGTTGGGAAGTTGATGGTATGTACAATGTATACCCTCGTATCTTGAGAGCAGGTTAAGTTGTCGGTCCTGCGATTTATCTCTCACCGGTTGTATCAAGTTGTCATCATCAGAGTGCATGTTGTATCTATACACTTATGCATTATAGTCTCAGGGCAATATAAAATCCATACAGTAAGTGATAGATTTTGATTTTAATGCAAATTGTTGTCAATTATTTGTTACTTACGACGATATAGGAGCGAGTGTGCCGAGTGGCGGCGGCGGCGGGTGCCGGTGCGAGTGTTCAGGCGGGGTTTTGTCGGGCATGTCGTTATAGTACTCGCGGTCCTCCGGCGCTTCGCCCCCGACGACGCCCGCGCCCGCGCCGCACAGCCCACGAGATCCGTTTATGTTCAACCTGGAATAAGAACAATGTTTCAGATATGCTATATATTATTTTTTATGGCTATTTGTGTATATATTCGATTATTTTAGTCAAAGGGTAATTAGCATAAGATAAGCACAATAAGAAGACGTACAGTGATGTTTTTTTCAAGTGTTCCTAAAACGCGGAACTCGAAGCTATAAGGCAAATTAAAAAAAAAAACGATATGCATCCTAATTATTTTTTAGTATCCTAATAGTAGTATAAACATGAAAATGTCTAATGATATATGGATGTATGTTTGTTCATCTATACAGATAAATAAAATCGAAGTATCTGTTTGTAATGTCAAAATAACAACGTTTTACTAAATGCATATGAAATTATATACGTTACTTGTAAGAAAACAGAATTTTATAATTTTTTGTCTGCCTGTGTGTCTGTTTGTTTCGAATAATCTCTGAAACGGCTAGACTGATTTTGACGGAACTTTCCCTGGAAGATAGCTGATGTTATAGGGAGTAACATAGGCTACTTTTGTGTTAGAAAAAGAATTAGGGTTCTGCTCAAAAAAATTAAAAACGTACCTAGTAATTCTTATAAAAACTAGTGAACAGATTTTGATGAAAGCGGAAAACGTCACTTTTTATAATATACAAATCAATCATCACTTAACACGTAACAAATTTAATTGGAAGGACACACATTATATCTTATTACACATTATATATTATTATCTTATCGAATTTTATTTTTGTATTAGCAATATTATGAAGTCACTCATATTTATTTAAAGGTGCAAATCAGGTTACAATGAGTCACTTAAATTTAAAAAAGCTAAATAGAATGAAAAATTTCGACATACAAATACTTAATAATATATAAATAAAATAAATATGTTAGTTAGGACATTAACACACAGCACCATCTAGTTCCATGGTAAGCTACAAGTGTTATGGATACCAGATAGTTGATTTGTACACATATGTAACTTTAAATACATATCTATTATAAAATATAAACACCCATGACTAGAGTACAAACATTCGTGCTCATCACACAAATGAATGCCCCCAGCGGGACTCGAAACCGCGACCGCTGGCACAGCAAGTAGGGTCACTACAAACTGAGCCAAACGTGTCGTCAAATATATGGGTAATAGCTTTATAATATCTTAACAGATAGAGCAATGGGGAATTAATTAGAGGCCCAATTACTATTAATAGGTACAATTTGTGATTATTTGTAGACTCAGTGAGAATGATAACATGCTTAAGATAGTTGTCTACACGAATATCACTTAACATAACTAGGCTACCTTATTAGGTGAACCTAATTATTAGGGATGCAATAAAATTGTATGATCAATATGTATAATGTATATACAACTCAATCATTTTTATAATAAGCCGATGTCTCTAAAAACCTTACAAATGGGGAAGATTATTGGCATTAAATATAAAACCCATGCATTGTAATATCGAATTTATAAATTTCTTTCATCATTTTAACTATGTTTTCTACCTGTTTCCTTGAAATATTTTGTACATAACCTCGAATAATCACTTGATTTAAAGTTAACTATTTTCAGTGCTTTTTCCCATTTCCGTTTTAATTGAATGTTACTTGGAAACTTATAGACACCAGTTTCTTTACAACCCAAGGCTACACAACGACCCATTTCTTAGTATTTTATAAATAAAACTGTAAAATAAAGCAGTTTCTATAGAGATAGACAGTACTTTTGTAACAAACATTTGGCGCCCTCTACGCGTAATTAATTCGGTTTTCTTCCCCATTAAATTGGTGGCTGTATTTAAGGGTTAATACTCGCTATAAAAAATAATAATAAACTTTTGTGGCAATCATATTAATATGATGAGACACATGTGTAATGACTCACACAAGGAAAAACATATCAATTAATAAAAGTAACAAATATTTATACAACGACTCACGAGGTGGGTTTCGTTAGGAATTCCTTGAAGCGCAACTCGAATGCCTGCCCGATGGTCGCTATGACGTCCTGCGCGAGGCGGCCGCCGCACTCCAGCACGTAGCACGCGCGCCACTCTGCCGGCGGCGCGGACTTCGCTACGTACGCCACAAAATCTAACGAATCCTGATAAAAAAAATACTTTTAAAGTATTTATAATCTATGTTAATAAAGGACGACGTAATTCATTTGTTATCCTTAATTGTGTCAAAAAGAAATTGTATTTTTAATACTTTTGGCACATCCTAATTATATTGTAATTAAAATAAACATTAAATATAAATAAATTATTTCATACTAATTGTAGACAAAATCAAAGCAGCAGTTTTTTTTTTTATATTTTCTCCTTTACCTTTATCTTATAACTTCTCATATCTCATATATCATATAATGTATGGATGTTGTACAATAATAAATACTATTTTTTGTATTTATATATTCTCACAATTTAAAAAATAGCAGATAATTAACACACCAAGTTATATGTATATAAGCCTAACAAATAACTAAAGGACAAAAAATTACATATAAAAATAGAAAACAGATACTTTGTGTACACTTTCAAACGTGAATTAAGAACAAATATAACTTTTTTTAATAAAATAATTGCTTCAAATTTTTGGTGTTGTTGAAATTTCTTTAGTTTTCAGTTATTATTTTCAGAAAATACTATAACTTTTATATTTTATCTGTCATAAAATAAAGAACAATAGTTATTGTAATACTAAATAAATAGGGTTTGTTAGATATTCTTGAAGTTAGAAAATGCCTTTATGCAATACAAACAATATTTGTATGCTCCAAATGTAAGTCATTGTTATGTTATCAAATATTTGATAAGCACTATTGTGGACAAACAGTTATAATTGCAAATTTTCTAGATTTTATTCTTTATTTTCTTCATCATTTATATTTAAATAAACAAATGATTGTTTGACTAGAGTTTAATGGTCAAATAATACTTTTGGTTTATTTTAATTTGATTAATTTTTAACTTTTTTTTTAATTTTTTGTTCTATATATAAGTAAAGAGAATTTATTCTATATAATAGTCCAAAATCAAATAACAATTGGAGAAATGTTGACACTTTATGCATCTTATTTAGAAATTATGTAGGTTTTCTGACAAATTACCTGGTCACCTCCTGAGGCAAAGGAGACACGTGGCATATCATGCCGTGCAATTGTTTCACCCCCCTCTAATGCTGCTAACGTAATAGCCCTTGAGGAGACTGTAAGTGCTACATTGGAACCAGAGTGAGACATTCTAGGTCTTGCAGCAAGTGCATTAGCGGCTGCTTGGCCAACTCTTCTCTTTTTGTCTGCAGATCGTAGACCTGCAGCCGCACATACTCTAGCTATGCATTCCCTGTAAGTTTGAAATATCTTTATTATTATTCAAACAGAGGTTTGAGTGGTGGTTTTAAGTTTGTATTTTATATTCTTAGTAAACTAAAAAGAACAAATTTACTTAACCCAACAATATTATAAATAACATAAGAAATTCAAGTGATCGGATAAAAATAAAAGGTGCTATCTACATGTGTAATAATAAATAACTAAATACTTTTCTACTTACTTTGCTACTTGTGATCTTGTTTCAAAATCTAGTTTTTTCATAGAAGTGAGAACTTCCATGCATCCAATATACTGAAATAGGAAAACACAACTCATATTCCTTCTATAATCTAATAATTACATGAACTATATATCTATATAAATAATAAATATGTTGGGACATTAATACACACCAGCATCTAGTTCCATGATAAGCTACGAGGCTTGTGTTATGGATACCAGATAGTTGATACACTACATATATACATAAACTTTAAATACATACATATTATAAATATGAAAATATTTACTTTATTATGAACTTACCCGAACTGCATACGTTATTCCATCGCTAGCTAATACTGAGTCGGGATGAAGCCAGCCCCGGGCCGGTTTAGAAATAAATGGCCCGTTTTCGCTCATGTCTGTCGATAATATAGATTTTAAATATCGGCAAATACCTTTATATTCTGTCACACCTCATCTACTCTTAGTAATTCAAATACACTTTCATTGTGATTCAATTTACTGTTAATGATATAAATAGTAAATTATGATCAATAATTTATGAACCGTTATCACTTCACAAAAGTTATGAAATTAAAATATTTCTTTTATAAGTATAAATTATTATATGATATCTGAAACAATATTCCTATTTTTTACAAAAAGTAAAACTTTTTGACAATATCACAGCCGATCCATAGACGAATGATCAGCGAGCTATAGACAATATTTTTGTTTCTGTTTACATTAAAAACATCAATAGTCAAAGACAAACAAACTTTTGTTCATGGGGTATTTTTTATTAATAACATTTATTTCAATTATATTTTATATACATTTTAACTTTGTGCATGTACTTTAATAAGCTAATATCATCATTTCTTATTAGTTTCGTCAGAGAAATATAAAAAAGGGAGCGATAGAATTTTTTTAGACATTCAGATAGACTATGCACGGACACAAATTCTCTTCCATGGATAAATGAACTTATTATATAATAAAATATTTAGGTAACTTAATAAAACAAGTTTCATTTTTCTTGTACGTGTAACGTGTATACTTGATAATTATAAGAAGATTTGATATATCGATTCCTTTAAAAAAAAATTAGTAGGTACGTTATTACCTGTACAAACTTACAAAGTAGATATTTTTATCTGTCTCCGTAAAAATTGCCTTGCTCTAACAATTTGAGCCTTGTGGCGCCTTTTTTAAATTCGTATGCGGAAATGTAGCAAATTACTATTTATTATGCAAATGTATACATTATTGGTTATTTATTATTCATCAATGTTACGTAAATAGTAGGGAAATCTAATCACAACTAATAAAATACTTAAAAGTTAAATGCTCCTGTTTTTATTATGTGCAGAGAATTGGTTAAATGTTTGTCTGTTTGACGGTCTTTATATATTTCGTCAAAGATAATACGTATTGACAAAATAAATAGGAGCTATGTAATTTGACTATAAGTTGAGACCCCAAGCGCGAGTCCGATTCAAGCTTAACCAGTTTTTACTATTAGTTGATTTGTGTTAAGTTTTATATTTTGATAAAATCTTTTAAAAATTGACTTGTATCTAAGTGTAATTAGTTTTACGAAAGAGAGAAAACACAAAGAACATTAAAATCAAGTTTCTTATATGGGGACTTTTCTTAATTCATAACTTTTTTATTTATAATTCAACTATTCGATAATTTTTATTAATTCAACTTTTAAAGGAGTGAAGAAGTTTGTAGTACATAATATGAAGATTCAATGGAAAATGACTATTGCAATATTTGGCGATAACCGGGGAAAATAATATGTGAGCGATGAACATGTTACAACATTTAATAAATATAAAAAATCAAAATCCTTAATAATTATAAAAATAGAAAATTGTACAAAGGATATAAAATGAAAATTGAGGTCAAGTGGTACTGCTTCACATTATTACACCAGTCATTAAGAACATAAGTATCGTTTAAGAGGAGGTCGCAGCCTAGTTAAAGGAAAGGTGTGCAGTGCAAAGGAAGGTGACGTCACCGCCCTGCTTACAAAATTAAATCACCTCATTATTTTTTCTTGTATTTTTGCTTCGTTGCCTTTAAATATTTTAAACAGATTTAACGACAAACTTTAGTAACTAATTAATGGATCCCAAATTAGTGCAATATTTAAATTCAATTTAAAGTAACAAAAGTAAACATAGACTAACTTATTTAGGTATGTAAGTTACTTGGCGAACTTCGTACGGCGGTTTTTTGTTTTTTTTTTGTAGAGTTTTTTTCAGAAAATATACCTATGTAGATAAACTTAAAAAGAAAACAAATGTTTTATATACATATACATTAAGACCTTTTTCTTGGATCACTCTATCTATTGCTGAAAACTGCATTAAAATCAGTTGAGTAATTTAACATATCTAAGCTAACAGACAGCGGAAGCGAATTCATTTTCTTACTAATATGTAAAGATGTTTTAATAAAGGCGTTTAAAATTAAAAAAAAAATGTTGACTTTACAATACTTCATCATTAATTACTGTGATAGATTAACGATATCGTTTTAGATTCATGCCGAGTCAGCGTGGATAAACGTTTATTTTTATTGTCAAATCTACCCCCGGACATTAACGTAATCGTCGCCACGAGACCTCAGCGGCGTTCTCGTTGTACATTTACACCGTTTTGTAACTGAATCTCTCAAAATTTTATCTTCTATAAATATATAATATTATTGTTATATTTAAAAATGATGAAACTCTGATTAATTATTTTACTAGTGGCAATGAAGATAATAAAAATTACTTATTAGTAACATTTTAAAGGCATAGCTAAATTTGGCATTTATAACTTTGAATTAAAAATCAATATTATAAGATATTTTTATACAAAGACAAAGTATAACAATCCCTTATATTAATTATAATATATTTATATTATGATGTCGGTGTTAAAGAGCCCTTCGTAGCGCCGTAGCGCGTGGCGTCGTAGCTGTAGGGCGGGCGACAAACGCGCGTGCGTGCGTCAGTGCAAAGCCGGCGGCCGCCGCGTGTCGCCGACCATCGCGCTCGGCATGCGATATCGAAGCCGCTTACATCCATCAATTAGACTGTACCGTGCGCCCCTGTAAGTAATCACGACATTTATCTTAAGAAAAATATAATTGCGTAAATAAAAACAAATATTTCATTCATCAATTTCTTCCGGAAATCTTCATTTCCGCACGTGGATCCATATTTGGCGTTCAGGCTCCTGACGCGCTAACAAATAAGAGGTTCGTTCAATAGCCCACTGCCCCTGTGAGAGATTTCTAAGTGAGCCGTCCTGAAGGGTTGTACTAAATTTAGATGAAATGCTCTTTGTAAAGGCTGTTTGAAATTCATGAGTGACAAGTAAATAATATAACAAAGTTTATGGGTTTTCAATGTTTATAGATGTATTACGCTTGTTGTATTTTTTATAGAAAATGTATGGTATTCAGTTAATTTAATTGTTAACAATGTTTCGATTTTAAAATTATATGGTACTAACAGTATATTATATTAATAAATGAAGTTTCATAATATATTTTTTAATGTTGTTTAAAAAAATTTGTTAAATACATCATTTTTTTATAGTTTTTTCTACCCAATTGCCTCAAGCAGGGCATCGTTCCAGTCATTCTGCTTCTTTTTATAAATCGGCTTGGTCATTATAAGCGGGGTCGTGGCGAAAATGTCAGCAATCAGCCCGAGGCAACACCACATCGCCTTTAAAAGAGATGCGACTCTATAAACAATTCGCAATTCAGAAATAGTCTGTCGAGCAAAAGTTCTTAAGATTTAAAGATAATAAAATTCAAATACTTATTAATAATTAAATTTTTAAAATGACAAAACTTCAATAAAACTTGCAGTCGCGTCTGTTTGTCAAGACGTTCATTTGAAATCTAGCTGAGCGCAATCTTTAGTATTTTTTCTTTCATCACAATAGTAAGATGTCTGCGACAACGGAAGAAGTGTTTGCAATTAGTTTCATTTCATACGGCAGCGATAGATTTATTTGTAAATGTAAAAAAGCAGAGAAATATATTTAAAAAGGGATAGAAATATTTTCTTATTCTTGTGCTTCGTTTAGAGGCAAAATGGTTCTAATTAGCCGCGTTATACTTAGAGATAGGGGTTATTGTCATAAGTTGATTATAATGAAATGTTTCTAATCTAGGCTTTATTTAAGTAATTATGCGTAGGTAATAAATAGTTAGGCGTTAGAGGATTATTATTATAAAATAAATGGCTACAATATCTTATAATATTAAATGAGCAATTCTTGTATATATACATACATATACTTACATTTATTTCGTGTATATCGGAAACGGCTCTAACGATTTGGATCAAATTTTGTATTTATATGAGATGTTGCTTTTTATGTTTATCCATAGATTGTGTCTATTCTGAAAAAAAAAACAATTTTTAAATCTTTTTCTGGAAAACACCGAGTAACGCCCGGTCGCGCAGATACTTCTTTACTTTAGTTTGTGTTAATAAGCATGAATTAGTTATACTTTTTTGAAGAAAACAATAGGAAAATAAGCTTATAACATATTTAAAAACAATTGTATGAAATTATTAAATTTTATTGTAAACTTGCTTTATTGAAAGATATAATCGAGCATGGGTGTGTCCTTTAATATTAAATCCTAGATGCTGCAACTTCACTTGTTTCCTTAAGGCAATGTTTATAAAGTCTAAATTTCTATCGAATATTCCAGCCTGAAATGTTAAACATGTCAGGACTTGCAGGTAACTTGGCTGATATCCAAGATGGGAAATTATTAAGATAATTTAGCTTTGTCGTCAAATGCCTCTTGTCGATATTACCTAATTTTGAACTCGCATAACTTTAGCGTCTTGAGTTTGAACGGATTCAATTTGAAAGTTATATATAGATCTACAAGGATATTATTCAGATATACGATCAATAAAAGTAAATGTATATATAAAGCAAGTCGATGACAGGATTAGTAAATTAAGTATAAAGTGTCACTAATCACTGCCTAGTACCTAGTTATAGTTTATTATATAGTTATATTTTATAGTTTATTGAGTGGAAACATGAAATTTTTTGGTAAGTTATCTTTTTTTGAGTTCGTTTTTAAAGAATAAGAAATTTGTATTTTCATATACAATATTTAATATTTATTTAACATAAAAACATAATATTACATGTTCATGCATGTAGTTAAAATCTTTTAATTGAATAATACTTTCTTAGATTTACGCGAATATTTGTCATTATAAATAAAACTATCTTTTCTGATTATTTCGCGAATTTCGATTTGGATTGAAATCCGCGAAAGAATCCGAAAAGATAGTTTTATTTAAAATCTTTTTATTGCTTTATATTATTTATAATCTTTTTATTTTTCGGTCGGTATATTATTGGATTTTTGTGGTATATTTTATTAGCAAATTGTAAGCAGTGGTAGCCTATTCGTAAGACGCTTGCTTGTAAAACAGGGTGAATCAGATTCTGATATAATGATGTGCGAATCATTTTCAACCTAATTATTAGATATTTTGTCGAAATAATGTAGGTAATTTCATATTATATTCGGATTAATAGAATGTGGTTCTGCCTATTGGCTTAAGTCATCGGGCTTTGAGCTTTGAGCATTGAAAGTCTTTGACGCTTAGTGACATGGAATTGCAAGGGCACCATTTTTGAGGCTTGGACGTCGAGTTACGACTCCATTGTTGAGGACAGTTAGAACTTTATGTGTAGGTATATTATCATATGCTAGTGCGTTTCGTTTAGATTTTAGTTAAAAGAATTATAGAAGGATTCGTCATTATAAAATGGAAAATAATGTTTGTAGAGTTCGTAATATCAGTCTAGGCCACGGGCGGTAGTAAAAAGCTAACTTAACCCACATTTATACGGGCTACAAGTGTTTACGCAGAGCGACCGTGTGACCGCCGGCACTCTAGAAAAACATGACTAGGTACTGCCTGAAATGTAATATTTTCATAGTAAAATTTGCAGGGCTTATTTTTTACGGTTTTAATGAGTATCCAATTATTGTTTTACAGTTGGATACAATAAAATAGGCTAAAACTACCACTTAGTAGAGTAATGTACTATGTAGATGTAAGCAGAAAAACAGAAGACGATAAAATCAAACTAACGAATTTCGTGGTCAAATTAAAAAAAATACAATTCAGAAAAAGTAAGAATGCTATATATTTTATATTTTGTTTTGTGAGCGGTTTACTTTTCACAAACTTTTAATGAGCTCCGTCCCAAATTATAGGCTATGCAATCGTTTGAAGTAAGTTTTCTAACTTATTTTGTCTTTTTATTTTATTCCTTAAACGCGATTCTATATTATATCCTTTAAATCTTGAATGGTACCTATTCACCATCACTAGTCCCGTAAGCCCAACATAAAATTTTACTGCCGATTTTTATTGGCTGACACAAGTCTGTTTATTTTGGGATCGGCTTAAAAGACATGAGCTTATCAGGGTAAACGGTTTTCAAAGATTTGAACTAGAAATACGCGATGAATAGTACATTTAGATATAATAAAATAAAAAATGAAATATAATATAATATTCTTGTATTTTTAAATATCTACACATTTTCAAGTTTATTGGATTTAGATATTGTACTACTATTATAAAAGCGAAAATTTGTATGTTTGTGTATGTATATTTGTAATTTAGTACACGGATATAATACTGTGAGACACTGAAAGAAGACCCGAGCGAAGCGAGGTAAGTCATTACTAATTGGACATCTATTATTAAAGCTCATGTTTGCATGCGTGTGTAACCCGATTAAAATGTAAATAAGTATAGAAATAAGATACTATTTATGACTTCTTTATTTGACTGATTATTTAATAAATTATCTTATTCAGTGTCTAATAAACCTGTAATCTAACAATCCTGTAAATTAACTAAAAGTTCAAATTGTTTTTATATTTTATCGGAAATAAGTAACTTTGAATGTCACTTTATTAATATAATTAAGAATGTATGTTGATCTGATCTTCTTAAGTACAGCAATGAAAAACTGTTCAATGTTGTTTTAATAGAGGTAATAAAAGACATAGGCTCATTTTTTATCCCGATATATCAAGTGGTCAGTAGGATATTAGCTACGGACGCTGTTTATTAGATGATGCGGTTAACTGTTCTAAATATAATTAAGTACTTTAGACTAAAATGGTTGATGGAAAGTAAAATCACTTTAAAAGTAACAGTTTTTTTTATTGAAAACTAGCAGTAACAGCGGCTTCGCCCGCGTTCAAACTTGCGATCACTATCGATCTTCAAAGGCACACCCGCTGGCCTAACTTGAAGATTGCCTGAAAATTTCATCAAAATTGTTCCAGCCGTTTTTCATTCAACAGGGAACATACATACCTACATACATCAATTTTTATATACATATAAGTATAGATATGCGATTATCCTTTGATACACTATTTAAAAAAACATACAGTCTAAAATTATTCACTACTACTCAAACTTAACCACTTGAAGTGAGGAGTTCGGGTAATGGATCGCGAATATTAGCCAAATCTCTTGAGTTGCACCCTTGTGAGCTATTCGTCTTCTCAACAGCTATTCGATTTTATAGGAAGGGAGCAAAACCTTACGGGCGGCGTTTTTGTCTCCAAAATATCTTTAATTTTAATTTTTGTTTTTTGCTGTAGCTGTATTGTAATACTTATCTATGCAGAAAGTATAGGTATATATTATATTATATATCTTAGAATTTTAACAAAAATATTATAAAAAAGGTATTAGGTATAAAAGGTATTAAAATACATTTGCTCTTCAAAGCTGATGAATAAGAGGAGCAAGAGGTACCATTCTTATTCGACAAGGTTAAATGAGTTAGAGGGGGTTATTGTTCAACGATTTCATTGTTCTTCCTTTGAAAGCGCACTCTTAAGTCCATAAGTACATTTTCTTTTGAGGTCTTGATATAATAAATGCTTAACTAAGTCAAAAAAGTAAAAATTTATAAAAAATATATTAGTCCATATAAATTAAAAACGTATAGCAAAAAAAATTATATGTATATTTATTGTCATTTGACGATTACACTGGCACGCGTGACGCACTTAAACGAGTAATCATATGCCAAAATCCCTTACATCATTTTGAAACATAGTGCTGGACCGATATTAACCAAACATAGCTAAGAACCACCGCAAAGAAACTGGCTTTCAAATGAAAAAAACTGCATCGAAATTGGTCCATAAGTTTGAGAGCTACGATGTCACAGACACATACACACACAGACAGACAGACTTCGACGTCAAACTTATAACACCCCTCTTTTTGCGTCGGGGGTTAATAAAAGACAATAGGTAATGAAAAAAGACATAACCGTAGCTGAATTTAAATTACACGCCAAAAAATTGTAATATCTATCGTAAAACCTTTTTACTTTTCACTTTTTTGTGTAAGAAGTTTTTGCGTAAAAAGTCGTTTTTTATGTTTATTTTAGCTTTTTAGTTTTGGCCAGTTAGATGTTCGGAGTTTTCTTTAACAATTTCTTATTCCAAATAAGTAATTTGTAATAATATAAGAAATTGTTAAATGTTTTATATAAATTGTATACATATATTTTTGTGATCGGTCCGTAAAAGCTTCATTTTGATATCCCATTTTTTATAGGTTTAGAAGAAAAATTGGTGCCTGACATCCCAAACTGGCGGATGTCAGGCACCAATTTTTCTTATTTTTTTTTCTTTTCAAAATATCCCTATACACTGAATCTAAAGATGTATAAATTTTTGCCGCTAAGTATTTACGACGGAACATAGTATCGGACATACCTACATATCTAGGTATATACATACATACGTACATTTTTACATACAGGTTAAACACATAACCCTCTTTTGCTCTTCGCTGCGGTCGGGTAAAACATGCAAAATGGGACATTATTAAAGGTTTTTAATGCAACTTGTGAATAGTAATAAATTATAAAATTATAATTTAATTTTATAATTTTTTTTTCGTATTGAGTAGAAAGAAGTGCGTCCTCACGCAATACGCAATGAACCTCTATAAAGCATATTGCGTAATTATTCCAAATTGATTGTTAAATGAAAAGCTTTCACTCGTAGATTATTATTTTAATTGAATACAGACACTAAGAATTCATTTAGTTAGGTAAGTTTTTTGAGCAGAAATTATGATCGAGTCACAAACGTACCTACTCGTATTTAGGATTTCAAGTCGAGAAAAGGGCCGAACGAATGACAGGGCTAAATAACAACAAAATTAAATAATTTTACTTAACATGTAGGAGTTAAAGCCATTATGAATAATTTTACATATGTATAATATTGGGTAAATACAGTGCCTTCTAAATAGCTTGAATTAATATTTTATCTATCTTCTATACATATAATAAAATTCTTACTTAGTCGAATCTGTACATAATATTTTTTTTGGAAAATCTTATTGAATAATTATTATTATCAATACAGAGGCCGAATAGTTTTTGGATTTTTTGTCTGTTTGTCTGTTACCGCATCACGCAAAACCGCTGTAGGAAATTGATGAAATTTGGTATGATGATAGATGGTTATCCGGGTCATCAAATAAGAAACTTTTTACTGCGGGAAAAATCTCATCTCTGAGAAATCTATACTAAACGTTAAAATGCAGTTTCAATATAAACTATAAATAGAACATAAGATTACATAAAAATTAAATGATCTAATTAACATAGTATAGTTAATGTCCACCTATTCATTAACATCGACTGTAAATGAGAATGCGAAGCTAAGCGGGAGTTTTTACGATCGGCGGTTTTTCTTGTAACGCGACACTGCAGGGACAATGTGCTTTTTATCTATAGCTAGACTCCAGACTTCTATGCTGATGGATATTATCTTACTCTACACATCTTTGTTTATCTTTTTTATACTAGGGATATTTATTTAGGGGACATCAGTAATTTGATCGCCATATATTTGATGTACTCAGCTTCCGTCGCTCTTCTATATAAATCACAAATATTGTGAATATGTATATATTTTAAGTTAATTAGTTGAGCTTATAAATAATTGTATATAATCTGTGGTAATAGGTGTACTGGTATAGGAGAAGTTCATATAAAACTCTTTTGTATAAAGTAAAGAAAAACATTATTACATTTACTGGCAAAAATTCTATCTCATGGTAAATCTCAATAAACAAAAGAAATTGAGCACAATAGCTAAATGAAAAACGGAATGGCAATTCAATTTAAACTTTAAGTAAGGGTTGTAGAAAATGTATCGTGTGGCCTCTTAGCGACAAGCATCTTTGCGCAATGAAATGACGAAGCGACGATAAAACATTTTATGTCACTACTTTTGTTTACTCCAAAGAGAGGGTTTCGATGACAGGGAGAGGTTGGGTGGTGGGAAAACGGTTGTACTGCTTTCTTGTTGTGTTTAACATAACAGTTTTCTGAAATCCTTTGTTGGATATAAACGCGCTCTTCTGTGCGAATATGAAAATAAATTTCCCCTTTTGCGCTTTTAGGCTGCTCTGCCATATTTTGCATATATCTTAAGAAAGAATATTTTGAAGTTTTTATTTAGCCAAAGCCGAGGAAAATAATATACAAGTAGAGTTCTTTTATATTCAAAATAGCAAATCCGCTATATACTACAATAAAGTGCTATCTGTTACTAATACTTTATCCTTTGTGAAGGTTTTCATTTTCAAAACAAGTTTTTGTATAAGTACAATACGTTTGGAATTCTTTGTTAGTCATTTGCGTCGTTCGCAGGTGCCGGCGGCGGCATGCTGGGCGCGCGGCTCAAGTCATGGATGGAGGCGCAGTTGGGGCGCGCAAAGAAGCGTAAGCAGAAGCAAACGCGGCAAACAGTAGCCCCGACGACCGGGCCTCTTCCTCCTCCTCACTTGTCTTCGCCAGAGAGCGCGTACAGTACAGGATACTCTACCGACGGCACGTCGCCTGGCGCGCCGCCCGCCACGCTCGCCGCCCCGCTAGTGTCGCCACCGCCGCCGCCTACGCCTCCGACCACGCACCTCTATCATGAACCAGCAAAGGTAAAAAAATTTCATCTTAGCATTTCAGTTAAAATTGCGCATTTTTTTTAGAACGAAACATTAAATATTTCATACAAAAATAACATTCGTAAGAGCTTTCCTGGAATATTTTTTTTTATATCATGGAAACATTCTTGGATAATTATAGCTGTGGTTTAAACAATAAATAAACCAACATTTCTAATCTTTTACTCTGCATAGTAGTTTGCACGTTTGGCATTCTTACTTTTAAAAATTGTAACTCTTACGTAATATGTAATACTTTTTGAACTAAGTAGGTCCACAAATATCGATTTGGTATAATTATAATATTGCGTAGGTACGCCGTGTCTGGCTTTGCCTTATTAATTAACTAGACCGGACAAATTGATGGGGGAGCGTTTTATTTGAGCTACATATATAAAGGTTGAACGTCCATTAACGCTCGTACAGGGCTCGTACAGTCGAGTAATGTAATTTGTCTTCATATAAAGTATTTTGTTTTTCAATAAACATAAATTATATTATTTATAGACTTACTTTTAATAACTTTGTGTTTGTTGAAAAGTTTATTGAAATTTATTTTGAACATTAGGTACTTTAAAAATAAGTTTGCTTTTTAGATTTTGTTTTTATTGAATCATTTTTTAAACATTGTCATTTTATACCTGTCTTTATTGTTTATCCTCTGTGAGGTTGTATCCTCTGGCGTGGTATTTATTGCCAATTACTTACCAGTTAGGTATCTATTAGCAGAATCATACTTCTGCTCTACTAATATAATTCTTTCGAAATTTAGTTTATTCATCCTACTAATATTAGATATAAATGCGAAAGTTTGTGAGAAGATCTGGATGTTTAAATGTTTGGATGTTTTTTACTCTTTCACGCAAAAACTACTGAATGGATTTTAATGAAACTTTACAATAATATAGGTCATACTGCATCTTTATCTCGGAAAAATCTACGGTTCCAGTGAGATTTGTATTAGCTTCTCTAGAGGCGAACCCGAACGAAGCCAGGGTTTAAAATATATTTCAGTATTCAATTATTTTATCAAACACAAATCATTTCAATATAAATATGTATTAAAAAGTTTTAAATACAATAATTTTTAACCAAGCAATTTTTGCTGCATTTAAATTGCACTATTCATGTTTTATTATTAATTTTACATTTTTACATAACTAAAACCAAGAGTTATAATAGTAAAAACCATTTTAATAACGAAATTAATAATTGTTTCCATTCCAATATTAGTTCAGCAAAAGGGTAATAGATGGCGCTGTGAGTCTCCTGAATCGCGGTATCGTTTGTCCATAGCGAGATTACTAGTAGCCGTCGCGTTCATACACAGCACTTCCTTGTCTTGGGGAGCATAGTGCGCTGTGATCGTAAAGTGAGAGCACTGATGCTGACACCCACAAGTTATCTTGTATAACACACCCGCGCCCGGCTGCCGAAAGGGAGTCCGAGCGCAATTTTTAAAAGGCCCTTTTACTTCATAAAGGGCTATAATAATTAATATATTCTAATATTAATATATTATAATAAAGAGGCAGAGGTTGTTTGTTTGAAGTTGAACGCACTAATCTCAGAAACTACTAGTCCGATTTGAAAAATTATAAGGAAATTTCTTGTTATATAATATAAATCTTACTTTTCTCTATTTAATGATTGTTAAACATATGAATTTTGAATAGGTACTATAAATACCCGTAGCAATATTTTGCAGTTTATAAGTGACTACATTTTTTTTCAAATAAATATTCTCACATTTGATGTAGATTTTATATTGAGTGTCGTTAAACATATGTAAACTTTAAATAATATAAAATATTTTTTTAATATCCAAAGTAATTTTAACTAGGCATCTTTTTCTTTTAACTGATTTATTTGTATTCATCAGCTTCACATCATTAATTTACATATATATACGTTCTGTAATTACGCGACAAATAAGATAATACAGTATGGGGTTTACAAATCTATACTAATATTATAAAGAGGTAAAGTTTGTAAGTCTGTGAACTACTAAACCAATTTAGATGAAATTTGCTATATGAAGATAGTTTTAATACAGGAAATCATCCGTTAAGGGGGTGAAAAGGGGGACGAAAGTGTGTATGGGGAATCGACCATTTCTCAAGTAAGAGTTATGAAAATGAATCATATATGTATGTACAATATAATATTATATAGTCTATCTATTCCACACTAACCACTAAAACGTACCGTAACGTAAGTATAAAAATATTTTTCGTAAATCAACAGAAATGAGTTATAAAATAATGTCTAAAACGTATTTGAAATAGTTTAAAATTTAATAGGCCTAATAAATGAAAGATTGGGGACACCGATTAATGTGTGAACACTGAACAACAAAGCATTCATAGTGAGTGGTCCCATTCCATTATAAATGAACATGTGTAGTGACTGTGCTCGATAGATTTAATTGAATTTTCATTAGCTTAAACAAATAATTCTTGTGTATCGATTAACCCAGTTAGTTAATTATCTTTCCATGAATGAAAGAAAGTCTTAAGAAAGATAACTTACTTATACAATAAAGCGCCTGATACATATGAAACACAATTTATATGTATGCGTTTTGCTTTATCAATTGTTGTTATATTTCAGCGTCGCTCCAGTACCACAGTTAGACGATGTGTGCCAGAACCAGTTCCAACGATTTGTGCTACTCCTTCTCCCAGACCAAGGTGTCGAATTAGGACCAACCCATGGTTGGGCACTACATCGCCCAATGTCAGGAAGAGAGGAGGACCTCACCTTCTCCACCAGCAGTCTCTGCAATGTCCGCCGCATCCTCAGTTGCATCACGCCACATTTTCCTTGGATTCACACCCGAAATATGCTTCTAGGTAGGTTATATTATAGTATTTAGTTTGCTATACACATGTTTAGTCAAGTTCGTATTATGGTTATATATATATATCCAGGGTGGCCGGTCAATTGACGTCATAAAAAAAAATTTAGGTCCGGTATGTTGTGGGGTATACGAATCACCCCCATGTATGTTACGCGATTTTTTATAGTTTAGGAGTTATGAATTTTTTTAGATTTTTTGAGAAATTTCGACTTGACTATCTTAAAAAAATTCTAAAAAAAAAGAAAAAGACTTTAGAGTTTTATTTTTTTTCAACTGAATTCGCATGAGTTGTACTTTTATGCATAAAATAATTAGTTTCGTACCTTTGATGAAAGTTATGAAAATGTTGGTCTAAAGTCAAATTTTTACGTTCCGTGAATTAGGACTTAAATTTTCAACTATAAATTACAAATCTAAACAGGTGACCTTATGATTTCTTAGTTATTCTTAAAAATGCAGCAGATTTTCAGCTTTCATAATAATAAAAGAAAAGCTGTACTTAATAGGGGAAATTTGGCTAAAATCGGTCTTCAAAAACAGCAAGGTGGAGAATTCTTAAAATTAGCCAATTGATTAAAAAAAAAAACTATCATTCTTAAGACTAATTAATTATTAGAAAATGCTGGAAACCTATCGTGTTGGTTGGATAAGAAAAGTTTTAAGTAAGAACGAGATCATAATGTTAAAATAATTTAATATTTTTAAAATTTATAATAATTTGTCAACGTGGCCACCTCCAGAGGCAATACACATTCTACACCGTCGTAAAAACGGCAACTTTTACCTGCAATAACAATGGGCTGAAAGGATAAAAAACTGTATTGCTATCTCTCTCACTCTCGGTGGCGTGAGGGCCCGAGCGCAACCGATCAAAGCTAACGCAAAACTAGTTCGTTAGTTACCGATCTCAGTAGTGCTCACATAGTGTTTACTGCTACTTGTGTCGCCATTTTGTTATTGCTCACGGACTCCGCCTCTGCTTACTTGTTTCATTACTTAGCTCGTTTACTGGACTGTTTTGAATTTTGATTTGGATTTTGTTTACTTGGTAGTGTAAGAGATGAGTTACACGTTAAGTGAATATGCAGAAATGCATTATTTTTATGGAGTTGCACAAGGAGACGGCGTTAAAGCAGCGCGTCTGTATCGCGAACAACTTCAACGCCGTGGTGGACCGCAACCTCCGCGATATCCCGACCACCGTGTTTTTATAAACACACACAATGCTTTAATGGCAGGCCGCATTCCTAGTCAACGCGGCAATCGTGAAGCTATCCTTAGAGCAGACCCGGATCGCACAGAAGTGGTGCTGGAAGCAGTTCAGCGAAATCCGTCTACAACCCGTGCCCGTGCTTTAGACATCCCAAGGACTTCTATCCAAGCCATACTTCACGATGAAGGATACCACGCGTTCCACTTTCGACGAGTCCAAGCTTTACAGCCGACAGACCACCAATTGCGCATTGATTTTTGCCAAACCATGTTACAAAAAGAGCTAGATGATCCTGGATTTTTCAATAAAGTGTTATGGTCAGATGAATCAAGATTTAAGCGATCTGGAATATTTAATATTCATAATTATCACACGTGGGCAATTGAAAATCCACACGCTGTGAGAGCTTCAACGTTTCAAAATCGCTTTGGCGTTAACTTGTGGTCTGGTGTCCTCAATGGTGAACTAATTGGCCCGTTTGAATTGCCGACCAGACTTGATGGAGCAACTTACAAAAACTTCTTAGAAAATGAACTTCCATTGTTGCTGGAAGATGTGAGTCTCGAACTTAGACGTACTATGGTATTTCAAAATGATGGCGCTCCATGTCATTACGCAACACAAGTACGAAATTATTTAAATGCAACATACCCCAACAGATGGATAGGACGCAGTGGACCAATTAGATGGCCTCCACGCTCACCTGACCTCAATCCTATTGATTTTTTCATTTGGGGCTATTACAAAGAAATAGTATACGCCCGAGAATGTTTGAGTGAACAAGAGCTGAGGCAAAATATTGCAGACGTCCAACGTGTTGTCAGAGAGAAAAGAGAAGCATTTAGACGATTAAAACACAATTTTTTACGACGGTGTAGAATGTGTATTGCCTCTGGAGGTGGCCACTTTGAAAACTTATTATAAATAAAAATATTAAATTATTTTAACATTATGATCTCGTTCTTACTTAAAACTTTTCTTATCCAACCAACACGATAGGTTTCCAGCATTTTCTAATAATTAAGTAGTCTTAAGAATGATAGATTTTTTTTTAATCAATTGGCTAATTTTAAGAATTCTCCACCTTGCTGTCTTTGAAGACCGATTTTAGCCAAATTTCCCCTATTAAGTACAGCTTTTCTTTTATTATTATAAAAGCTGAAAATCTGCCGCATTTTTAAGAATAACTAAGAAATCATAAGGTCACCTGTTTAGATTTGTAATTTATAGTTGAAAATTTAAGTCCTAATCCACGGAACGTAAAAATTTGACTTTAGACCAACATTTTCATAACTTTCATCAAAGGTACGAAACTAATTATTTTATGCATAAAAGTACAACTCATGCGAATTCAGTTGAAAAAAAATAAAACTCTAAAGTCTTTTTCTTTTTTTTTAGAATTTTTTTAAGATAGTCAAGTCGAAATTTCTCAAAAAATCTAAAAAAATTCATAACTCCTAAACTATAAAAAATCGCGTAACATACATGGGGGTGATTCGTATACCCCACAACATACCGGACCTAAATTTTTTTTATGACGTCAATTGACCGGCCACCCTGTATATATATATATATATATATATATATATATAATATATATATATATATGAAGGTTCATGAGGATGAACACATATTTGTGTTTATTCTTTGTTTATTTGCTGTCAGCACAATTAATTTGAGTGAAGATCGAATGGATATAGCTTCTATCCTAGTTTAATTGATAGGTTACTTCTTATTTGTAAGAGGAGCCAGAGCAAAAGCTTTTCGAAAAAAAGTACGAACCTAGTCTTTGAAGAACATAGGTAAATGACGAAATTACTTTCATTTAGTTTACGCTATTATTAAGTGATAATCAAAGGGGGCGTAGAAAGTTAAGTGTTTTATATATCAAAACCGGATAATAGGTTAGTAGGTCACAAACTATCGTTGAATTCTTTTTCCCGTATAAATTAAAGAAAATATTGAATTATTTTTTTAATAATGATTTCAAAACTAAAATTTCTTTTCCGTGATTAATTTAATACAACGATGACATAAAATAATGAACTTAACCTAAACTATAAGGTTTTTTGGGATTTTGTCGTTTAGAATTAGGAAGTCGTATTAAGTTTAACCTTATTACTGTTGAAATATATATGTTGTTATACCTATATGTTGAAAAGGCTTTCAATTTTCTTTTTTTATTAATTGCCGATCATTCATTCAATAACGTGTTATAAATGCTTAATCTATTGAATATTTCGCATAACTATGTGAGTTTTTTCAATTAACATCTCTGGTTATATTTCAGATCACCGCATTTATCTCCCCATATATCTCCTCGTTTGTCTCCGCATTTATCTCCACATTTTTCGCCACGTTTATCGCCACATCTGTCACCGGAACCGTACCGTTCTCCATACTATAGGGGTGGAGCGTCAAGTGACGAAGAATGTCGTAATATTAAGTCTCGGGGTAGAGAAACGGCTATTTTATCTGATGCCGATGTGGACTCGGATGGGGACACAGGATTGGATGGAGGGGATGAAGATGAACCAGATAGTAATGCTTCGCCTGGTAGACGAAGAGCCAGGAGACGAAGACCCCCGAGACGACCACCACGATCTGCAGGTAAAGCATTAAAACTGGTTGCATTAGTATTTCCTGGTAACTTTAAACTTTAAAATTTCATTGATTTATATATGTAATTTATATATAAGCAATGTGATCCAATAAAAAATAGGTAATTTTCATTTGCTATTTACATTAATTAATGTATGGGTCGCATGAAAATTGAACAAGTGAGCTCAATCTTTTATTAATTATTATAATATTTACTTGTAAGTCGTAGTCATTAACTGCAGCGACAGTTTTACATCATCTAACAGTTAGATTCTAACTTATGAGATTAGCTCGATATTATTAAATTATTGTATAGTCGCACATACATAGTACGTTCGAAACTTATGGTTAAAACTAACTTCCAAGATTTCATAATAAGTATTTAGTTATAATATTTGCAAATGAGGTTAAAAAAGTCTGTAATTGTGAGTGTCGACGTCTTAATATAAACTGTTTTTTTTTTCAAGTAAATATCCATAGATTCAATATTTCAGGAGCAACACCTCCACGAATGCGTCGGCGATGCCACGCGCCTTCCGCCCCACCCGTGAGAGAGCGCGATCCATTACTTGAGGCCGATCGAGAGGCAGAGAGGAAGTACCGGGAACTGATACGTGAAGCTGAGAAACTCCTTGTCACAGTATCCAGAGCTCCCATCGAGCCACCACATAACCCTAGGGTTAGGGAGCTAAGAGCTACTGAGGTAAGAAAATGCTTATAATAGCTATAGGTATGTTTATGGCATGTCTCCTCTTTACATATAAATTAAATACACCTAGATTTTTAATAAAAACTTAAATAGACACGATAATTATAATTTTTATGTATTTAAAAGTAGATAGTCTTTTCTTCTATTCCTAGATTTATTTAAATTTGAAGGAATTATGCACCGTTCATCTAAGATGTATTTTTAACATAATATAATGTCTTCTACATATGTTTGTAAAATATTCTTTATTGCATATTTATCAAAAAGTCATTTAAACAATAAGTACATAACCATTGTGGGCTGTCCTGTCTCTAGAAGAGATCTGTTCAAGCCAAAAAAACTAAAAAAACCTGTAAAAAAACCTGTGTGCTAAAAAAACCCGTGTGTACTTATGTACGCACGTAAGAAGTTATACTTCTTTGGAGTAACAGAACAAAAATAGCTAAAGATTTCATCCCGTATGTCACAACTCTCTGTTTGTAAAAGGAATGCAGCTAACTTTATCAATCATCATATCGCTTTTTGATTGTCGGTGTGCGCGCGCATCGTATAAATTTTACTCTCATATCCAAGCGTACCAAAAGAAGTATAACTTTAGAAAGCATTATTCCCGTGTTCGAAGGTGGAACCCCCCCGACGGAGTCCAGAGCGAACCCACCTCACGAACTTCATCCGCGCCAACTCCCCCGAGCCGCGGCGCACGCCCGCGCGGCGCTCGCCGCTCGCCGACCCCCCGCCGCCGCCCCCGACCCCGCGCCCCCCGCGCCCCCCGCCTTCCGCCCGCACTCGGAACCCCCCAAGCGGAAAGCGTATGCAAGGGATGAGGTATATACATATAATATAGTACGTAATCCAGTAGCGCGGGAGAGGTCAGCACTCGAGATTTAGGTTGTACACCTGTAAATATCTGTAACAAGTATATAACACCGTTGACACGAAATAATCCGCAAAGATAGTTTTATTTAAAATAATCATGTAGTTGTGCTCTTTAGAAAGGGTTACTCACACACACAATTATGACGACAAATCTCTTCCACGAGAACCGTACATTTTTACGGGGTAAAAAATAACCTATGTGATATTCCAGACTATATATACCTCTGTGCCAAATTTTATCCAGATCCGTTTAGCAGTCATGGAGTGAAGGAGTCCATTCATCCAACCTCACAAGCTTTCACTTTTATAATATTATAATATACTAGCATTGCCCGCGGCTCCGCCCGCGTTCAGATGACCAAAAACCAAATTCTTAGGTTTTACATATTAGTATACTCTAACCTTGCAGTTCTTGTATTTTTTCTCAGAAATATTTAATGTACCTACAGATTTGACTTAGAATTTTATTATATGTATAGATGGATTATATTATTTATGTTATTTATTTTTATCATTATCTTAATAAAAACTTTTTAACAAAAAAATAAAAACCGACTTCAAACAAAAGCACTAAAAAGTAAAAAATAACTGATTGGTAGTTTTCATTTACTATACATACCTAATCAAATATTTTCGAAGTCGGTGTGCTTTGCTTTGTATGGGCTGGCACCGATTTCGAAAATATTTGATTATGTATGTATTTAATAGGTAGGCTTTAATTACTTAGCCAAAGCACACCGACTTCGAAAATATTCGATTAGGTATGTATAGTAAGTGAAAACTACCAATCAGTTATTTTTTACTTTTTAGTGCTTTTGTTTGAAGTCGGTTTTTATTTTTTTGTTAAAAAGTTTTTATTTTTCCCTTTTTAGTGTAGACAGTAGTAGCAAAGTAAGGATTCTAACGTGTTAGGCTTGTCAAATCAAACAAAATAAGCCCAAACTCAAAGTATCTACTATTAGCCGTTGAAGAGTTCCACCTATCCACCTTCTGGCCTTGCCATCAGATCAGGTCAACAACACCAAACCACTGTACTATCAACGGAAATAGAAATACTTGCAAAGTTTCAAGTCAATATGACAATTAGAAGTAGGTTAAATTCATCATTCGCTATTTTTCCACCCTTAGGGGTGGTATTTTTTTTTGAAATTTAAATGGGACCAATCTGGAAGTATACCCTTTCAAACGACACAAAAATTGTCCAAATCGGTTAATAAATGGCGGAGTTCTGAGGTAACAAACATAAAAAAAAAACATACAGTCGAATTGAGAACCTCCTCCTTTTTGAAGTCGGTTGAAAAGTTGCATGTAAAACCATACCAAGAATTTTCTTATCTTTATGGCTAATTAATGCGTTAATAAAATTTAAATTCCTTCCCTACATGGTATGGTGCAGAGCGATAATTTTCATGTTGTGGAGTGTAGACCAGTGGTTCCCAATTTTCTTGGCCACGGAACCCGAATTGATCATAATTTTTTTAACGGATCCCTGTTTTAATAATAACTAAACTTATTATGTTGTTAGAATACTTTCTGGTTTGATTTGAAAGAACAAATCATAAATGAAAAATATCAATACTTATAATAAATAATATTTATTATACCAAAAATATAACCATTATATATAATATAATGTGATGACTGAAATTTTATCACATATGTACATATTTATTTATAATACTTAGCACTAAAATTAGGCTTCATGTCTGACAACTGTTTATTGAACTCTCGGACGGAAATTGGAACCCTTCCACGGAACCCTAGGGTTCCACGGACCACCATTTGGGAACCACTGATGTAGACTATCAATTCGTATCACCTACTTCATTATTTTTAAAAATATTTATTAATTACTTTTTACAGTAAAATAAATTTAAATATAATTAAAAAATTTAATATCGACCTTTAATGTCGACCGGTAGTTTATTATTTTTTAATGATTGAGAAATTCCGAGCATTTAATGATTAAATTGATTTCCGTTATAAATAGTGAAACTAATTTTTTAGAAATTATGATCACTTGATAACCATTAGCCATCTTATGAGATAGGTTACGTAAATGCGCTTTAAATGTAATAAGATTGCTTAACTCATTTTTAAATGCAAATTGAGGCGCAGAAACATAATTGATTTGATAATTAAGGAAATTATTATGAGTCTATACGAGTATATTATGTCTCACAATTTCATCAATAAGACAATCGATTTAATCTATATATATAATAAAATTGTAACTTAGCCGAATCTGTACATTAGATATTTTTTGGAAAATCTTATTGAAATAAACATTATTATCAATCAATATTGAGACCGAATCTATAGTTTTTAGAATTTTTGTCTGTCTGTCTGTTACCGCATCACAGAAAAACCACTGAAGGGATTTTGATAAAATTTGGTATGGTGATAGCTGGTTATCCGGGTCAACATATAGGATACTATTTACCGCGGCAAAATATCTCATCTCTGAGAAAAAATACAAAAACTGCAATGTAAGAGTATACTAATATGTAAAACCTAAGAATTTGGTTTTTGGTCATCAGAACGCGGGCGGAGCCGCGGGCAATGCTAGTATAATATAAAGAAAAATATTTATTATTTTTAGCTACTTCTAATATTTATGGTTCTTTTTTATTTAAATTTAATGAAACATACATCTTGTCAATCTCATACTCCGATGGGACGACAATTCGATATTCGAGGCACGGGTTTAAAATGTCTTTTGATATTTAATTGTCATATAGGTATAATTTTAAATAATAGTATATATTTTCAATAGAAAAACTATTTTTTCGGATTTTTTGCGGATTTATTTTGATTTTTGGTTCCCGACGTTTCGAATGCTTCACCGTAATCTATGACTGTTAAAAAGGGTTCGAAACGTTGCGAACCAAAAATGAAAATAAATCTGCGAAAAAATCTGAAAAGATAGTTTTATCTAAAATTTCAAATATTCGCGTAAATCTAAGATAGTAAGTATGAATTCGTATTTCCAGGTGTTACAAACGTTGGAGGGCTTGCGCAAGAGTCTGCAGCAGCAGTCTGCTTTACTAGCGGTGCAGCGCACGAGGCTCGACTCGCTTTAAACATTTATAGTAGATCGTTTGTTTACGCGTTTTGTTTACATATCCTTCATTGTAGCTGTTTTTTGGACACTTGCGTCTGTTAAAGTTTATTTGATATGTAATTTTTTAATTTTTTTTAGAGAAAATATGGGTAATATTTTTGGGTACGTATATTGTAACATTTTTTGTTGTCATAGCATAATTGATTCGGAGAAAATGAATGAAGATTGTGTGGTAGTTTAGAGTTATCTAGTGGTCCCGATAAGCAGACGTTGTCGCGCCACAAAAAAAATAAAAAATCTGGACCGCAACAACAGCGCCACCTAACGGTCCTAACTATGGATGAGAACCCAGGTGACTCCATAAGAACATAAAAAATCATCAAAAGCGGTCAAGCCGTTTGAAGGACAAGAGTTACGAACACACGCCCTCCAGAATTTTATATATAAAGATTTTTTAGTTACTGATATATGAGTAGATAGCATATTAACCGCTGTTTCGATATTTCACGCATAATTTTGTTAACTTTGAGTACATGTATATAATCAAAGTTTGTTAATTATATCCTTATGTTCCAGTCGCAAGTAGATCCTATAGTTCTTCCACATTTCCTAGATAAATCCCTCCAGAGGTCTAGTCTAGTAGTAGTTCATATGTAGTGTAATAGCGTTGTTATCGTTTCGTATAGGCGAGGCCAATATTAAAAATACTCTTAGTGTCATTTTATTCGTAGTTTGTATAATGTAGTTGGCTCTTGCAAAATTGAAGAATACATAATTACTCGTTTAATTTGTTATTTTAAATATAAAAATCTAGCGGCTCACCCTCGCCTCTAGAAAAAAAAACAAATTTATCCCTCAGAAACCGTATATTTTTCCGGGATAAAAAGCCTATGTGTTATTCCAGACTATTATAATCTATCTCTGTGCCAAATTTCATCCAGATCCGTTCAGCTGTTCTGAAAGAGTAACAAACATACTCACAAACTTTCACATTTATAATATTTATACAGATATACAGATATTTGTTGCATAAAATAATAAAACCTAAAATTATTTTGAATATGTGCAAAATTGCAATATGGCTTAGTGGTCCAATATCTATCTAAAAAGGCAAAGTAAGCAGGTTACAAATTCGTTTGGTATATATTTCACGCTTACAGTATTACGAGTACAAAGGATAAATAAAAAAGTAACCATATTATATTGATTTTTATGCAATAAGTAGGTACCAAAGATCCGTTTACTCTGCTTAGAAAGTATCTATAATAATTTATTTTCTGATAAAAACAACAAAATCTATGGTATTAATATATTAGAGATACTTAAGAAATACTTATTTTTTCATGAACTCACAAAATAACAGCCCAGCAAAAGTACTTTTTACTAATATTTTTTATAATAATAAATTATTTTTATACCGTTTGTAATTAATTTTAATCAATGGCAAAACCAATTCGCGCAATATGCGAGCTTTATTGCACATCACGAATACGTACATTGTAGACAATCTTAATTTCGGGTTCGGGATTAAAGTCAAATAAACATACAAAAAATCAACAACGACGTATTTCGTATTATGGTTCTGTTTATTGTCCAGAGTTCTAAGTTTAGTTATTGAGTCTTTCTGTAAAGTAAGCCTCAGTAACAGCCCGGAGTTTGGAAGTTGGCGGTGTTTCACCCTCGTGCCGAGGCAGAGCACGTAAAGGTCCGGTGACGGAACGGTCTAGTGGGCAGACTCTCATACTTTTCAATACCAAGAATATTTTTTTGCCTGACACGGTCCTGGAACGGTTATGCCCACTATACCGTCTCATGGTATGAGACGGTATAGTGGGCAGACTCCTTTAACTCTCACTGGTCGTGTCGAGCAGTCGTCCCACCGGAGTATGAGAGTGACAGGAATAGAGAGTGCACTTGTGTCTGCGCGCACACACACACACGCGTGCACTATAATACCTCGTATGCAGTTGGCGTGTCTCAATCAGATTGGCCATCGTGGCCGGAATCGGTCAAAAGGACACTATTAGTGTCCAGAGCGTAAAATAAGTGGAAATTAATCCTTGTTGTTTTCTGTACCTTATGTGCAAAAAAAATAATTACTTAATACTTTCTTAGATTTACGCGAATATTTGACATTTTAAATAAAACTATCTTTTCGGATTTTGTCGCGGATTTATTTGGATTTTTGTTTCCCGACGTTTCGAATGCTTTACAGCATCCATGGTCACGGGAGAGACTGAGGTGTTACATGTCTTGAATGTATAGTTGTTACAGACAGCCTACCCACAATTAACAAAATGAAAATTGCACCAATTACATTACAATATTTTTTAACTTTAAACATTTTTATAATTTTAATTATAATTGAATATGGAAAATTATTTATTTAATTTTGCTATTATTTTTATAATTATTACAATTTTAAAATATTAATTAGTAATCTATATTTAGTGTTGCCATTATTATATTTATAACCATAAAGAAAAATATAAAATGTGGTATTAATTATTAAAGCCATATAATTGTTCTATGTGTAATTTAAAAAGTTAAAATTAATTAAGGATAATAATTTTAATTTAGTTTGCTATTATTTAAAAAACAACTTACTAAGCAACACTATTAATATATACTTTTACAAATGAAAAATATTAATATATACTTTTACAAATGAAAAATTTTTCATTTGTAAAAGTATATATTAATAGTGTTGCTTAGTAAGTTGTTTTTTAAATAATAGCAAACTAAATTAAAATTATTATCCTTAATTAATTTTAACTTTTTAAATTACACATAGAACAATTATATGGCTTTAATAATTAATACCACATTTTATATTTTTCTTTATGGTTATAAATATAATAATGGCAACACTAAATATAGATTACTAATTAATATTTTAAAATTGTAATAATTATAAAAATAATAGCAAAATTAAATAAATAATTTTCCATATTCAATTATAATTAAAATTATAAAAATGTTTAAAGTTAAAAAATATTGTAATGTAATTGGTGCAATTTTCATTTTGTTAATTGTGGGTAGGCTGTCTGTAACAACTATACATTCAAGACATGTAACACCTCAGTCTCTCCCGTGACCATGGATGCTGTAAAGCATTCGAAACGTCGGGAAACAAAAATCCAAATAAATCCGCGACAAAATCCGAAAAGATAGTTTTATTTAAAATAATTACTTAATTTGGACCTGAAAATAATTAAAAAGATTATTCTTCAGTTATTGCAAGCCAACAATTTTTCAGCTTAGAAGTTTATTAGCGTATTGAGTAGCAGTAGAGTAGTAATAGAGCGGTCTCGCTAGGATAAGCTTATTGGGTGAATATACACAAACGGTAAACGTTCATTTATTTATCAATATATTAAACGATATTTTAAACAAAACTATCTTTCTTCGGGAATCAAAAATCAAAATAAATCCGCGAAAACATCCGAAAAGATAGTTTTATTTAAAATATCATATATTCTGGTAAATCTAAGAAAGTTTTATACTAACTACGATATATGAATAATTATAAAATTATTCAATAAACAAATGTACAGCCAGTTGATAAACAATTGAATAACTGAATGACATTTTTTTTATAATAAACTGTTTTTTAAAGAGTAAACGCTCGTTTGTAGTTTGCGTATACTCAGCCGAAACAACCGTGGCCACGGCGTAAGACTGCATTTATACAATGTTTACTCGTTATAATATTATAATCAATCGACTGATGTTTGATACATAAATAGTACCTAAATATACCTATTAAATTGTCAATATAACGATAAGACAATTTTGTTAGAATTTTTTAATATAATTCTTTTTAAATTTAAAATATTTTTGCCCATTAATTTCGCAAATAAAAAAAAAACAATTTATTGGTATTTATTTAAATTAGTACAGTTTATTGACTTTATTTAAGTACGCATTCAAACAAATGCATACAATGCTGTTGAATTATATAAAAATGTAAAATTTACTTATTTAAACAATATACCGTCCATCTTGAATATTCCAGAACGCGCGCTACTACCTTGATAAATGATTTTGTGTTTTGTATTGTGTCTGAATCAAGATGGACGTGATATTTTTTTTACTTTATTCAAATATTAGGAATATATTGAAATCGTCTCAGGGTTACGTATTTCATTGTTACAGATTTTGGTAATAAGAATCTATTATAATCTGTTAATTCAGTGACTCTATTGTTATAGCACTTTTGTGTACAAACGTATATATAATATTTAATTAATTGGTAACTCTGGTACCTGTTCTTAGATATTTGAAACGAGATTTACCTGATAATGACATTGTGTTATCATGGGTATTAAATATATAATTAATTGTTATTTTATTTAAAATATATGAAGGGTACAGGCAAAGAAGAGGGAATGTCATAAATTAGTTTTTTTGTTTTGTAACAAATCTATGTCTATGGCAATTGCATCCCCAACCATTGGTTTTTACAAATACTTAACGGATATCACTAAAAATACGTTTTTATCTATGCCCAAAGCGGAAACAACTGGGAACATCCATGACCTACCGGTAAAGGAGGTTTGTCCAAAAACGAACTGTATACTCGTAGTTAAAAGTCACAGCATACTTTGATCTCAATAAAAATATTGTAACTTCTATACTTTAAATTGATTTTTTCATTAGGACATTTCTTAATATATTCATTAGAAAATTCTTGTTCTTTACTTGTAACCTTCATATTGTAACAAACATGAGTCGATTGCCAAGGATGCCCATCGCGATGGTGTCCCATATTTTTGTTAGTGCAATTTTGGATGAAACTTGCAAGGGCGACGTATGCAATGTTCTCGCCATGTATGTAAATAACCCATGTACTTGTTTATTGTAAGTATAAATAAGATTTATACGTTTAGTTGAATTTTCATTAAAATATTAAACCAAAATGCCGTTTTACTATATTGTTTCTTATTTGTGTTTTCAATTAAGATCCTTTTTTAAGGTTAATTAAGTAAGAAAAAAAACTACACTTTGTTAAAATTTCAGTGTTCGTCTCTATCAATATTGCCTTGCTCTACTTCTGTACATTTGCATTGGGATGTGATAAAAGTTAAAAGTCGAATTCGATTATTACTTCGTAATCGTATAAAATAAAAATACACTCAATGTGGTCATTTTTTTTAATGAAATTCATTGCTAGGACAAAATAAAGCAAAAGGACTCTCCCTTTCTCCTAAGTTAAAATTAACTTGCTGCACAAACTGCACAAATGTGCAAAACTATTTTTAATAAAATACTTTAAAGCCGATTGTGTTTCTAAAAATATTACCCAAGATGGTTAAGGACTTTAGGTACCTAAACTAAAACTCAAAACATACTTTAATTGAATTGAT